TACCACTCGAGGTAGCTTCCAATTCCCCAAACCAACAGCGCACGAGCGCTCGTCCGGCTTCCCGCAGCGGCTCAGGTACAGCAGAGGCAGACTTCCTCATCGCTCTTCTCCTGCAGCAGGGCATTTCCTCAGACCCAGGCCTCCCTCTCTCCCAGCTCCGCGAGCTTTCGGACCAAGTCTCCGGCGCAGTCCCCCAGACCATGCCAGCAGTTCCAGTCAGCTCTCCCGAAAGATCAGGGCGAGGGCGCGGGCGCAGCCGCGGAGGTAAAAGGACAAGGAAGTCAAGCCCTCCAGGAGCTCGCCCGCCCAAAAAATCAACCCCTTTCCAGGCTCAACCTAACGCTGATCAGCCCGGGGGCACCGCTAACCAGCCCCTCTGGGATGGTAGCTTAGCCAGCTCCCTGCAATCCCTGGCAAGCTCCATGCTACTCATCGACGCTCGCCTCCAGTCCTTGGAAAATGTTTCTGCCGGAGCTTCAACCTCACCTGCAAATAGGGCCGTGTTTCCTGCCTCCGTGCCGCCGGGTTTCATAACGGGTCAGGGTTTTGTAGCTCCCTCTCACTCTCTGGCTTCCGCCCTTTCAGCTCCTCCTTCAGGCAGGCCTTACATTCCCCAAGCCGCTAACATTTCCTCACGGCTCAGAAAAAAAAATACTCGAAGGGAAGGATATTAATCTTGTCAGCCTTATTCTGCCCTCCCCGGAGTGCGATAATCCATTGCCACGGGAGGAAGCATCACTGCCGTGTTCAAGTCTGCAGATCCCCGGCTCCTCAAAGACCTCAGCATAGGGCAATTTCTGGTTGCTTTCGGCATCTTTCGGGACGTTCTTTGTTCACTCTACCCCGAAAGAAGGATCGAATTAGATGCTTATCTGGCCATGATCGGCGATCTTCACCTTAAAGGTGGGGTAGGTAAGTTTGAGAAACCGGCTCGAGATACACTTTTTGTTATATTCCATGAAATGCTCTTAACATCCCGATAGCAATGAATATCTTAAGTGCTTTGACAAAAAATCCATAACAAAATGTCATCTGTGGAAGCCGTAATACTGTAAAAAGTACGACCAATCATTTTAGCCGGCCCGGCTAAAGTAACTGGATGGCCTACCTGCCTGTCAGCCTTCCATCTGTGCACAAACTTATCTCGTGCCCTCATTGGTCATGTGCGCGTTCGTGTGTGTTGGAGGAGGGGCTCTATAAGGAAGTGGCAGATTTTCTCCGGTTGTGTATTTTCAAATTCTAGCGATCTCGAGCCGGTTTCTCAAACTTACCTACCCCACCTTTAAATACGGAAGATCCATTTTCTACTTTTACCATAAAAGTTTTTCAAGCAAAGCAGCGCTTCATCTAGCTCCTCGCAACATTCGCCTGGATTGGTCCGTGCTGGACACCGAGCTGCTCGTGATGGCTACTGGCGGCCATCAAGTCGCTACGTGCAACAGCTGCGGGGCGCAGGGCCACACCTTCCCTTTCTGCCCTTCAGTGCCTCTCTCCGGGCCTAGAGTTTTCCCCACGCCGTTTTCTGGGAATGATAGTCAAAGCCGTCAGGTGCAGCATAGGCAAGACGAGAAGATTTGTCTTAGATTTAACTAAAACATTTGCTCCTACCCATATTGTACATTCCTCCACATCTGCAGTTTCTGCAAGGATGCTCATCCGAGGTCCGTATGCCCCAGGCGCAGCCGCAGCTTTGCCACTTAAAAGAATAAAGAGAAGAAAAGAGTATTTACGAGAATTTCTGACTTATGTTATTGCTATCTTTAGTTCCAAGGTTCAGGGTAAGGCAATCTAGTTTAGACTCGTCGCATCAGGTAAGGTAATACATGCCCACATTCAGCACAGCACAACTATTATATCACGCACGTATATAAAATAATAATAATAATTATAATAATAAAAAATAATAAAACCCTCTTAAAGACGTGCTCCGCACATGCTTCGTTTGGGGGGGAATCTCGCAGGGTAAGCGAGTCGCAGTCTCGAGCCCACTCACTACAGTAGCGACTCTTCCCTGCACGAGATCAGAGAAGCTCATGTAAGACGATAGAAGACAGTCTTAATCACTCAATCAAGCTATCAGCATCTATGTATCATCTCGACGTAATTAACTGCTAATTAAGCTAGTCCTATATCTGGGTCATGGTTCAGTATTTACCTAAGCGTATATCACTTCATCTACATTTCGGTTTCATGCTCACACGGCTTGTGATAAGCCAGGTTATGATATTCATGCATCACTGTACTTAAACTAACAGCTCACGGCATTACATTGTCCACATCTCCCTTTTCGCCGGACATCGGCGTGCTGGCAATCCAAGATCTCTTCAGCTTACCTATGGTATATATGCATATAACTGGTGGTGGTGTCTTAATAGCATTTCAGGGCTTTTGTCAGGATAGGTGCAGCCAACTCTGCTGCTTATCAAGGTATTTCTTCCTCATCCCTGCAACAACTCGGACGGTGGTCCTCCTCTGCTTCACAGCCTACATTCGCCAGATACCAGTGCCGTGCTGGCTATCCAAAGCTCTGGTATGTATGCATATTAGTGGTAGTGTTCATCGTGTTAATGTCTAACCCTGCGTTTATGGCCATCTGTTTAGTGGTAGTGTTCACGTAAGCCCGGCAGTGATTCCGGCCGTCTGTTTAGTGGTAGCGTTCACGTAAGCCCGGCACTGATTTCGGCCGTCGACCTTCGGGTCAGCATCTTATGATGTACAGTAAGCCCGGCAGTGATTCCAGCCGTCTGTTTAGTGGTAGCGTTCACGTAAGCCCGGCAGTGATTCCGGCCGTCTGTTTAGTGGTAGCGTTCACGTAAGCCCGGCAGTGATTCCGGCCGTCTGTTTAGTGGTAGCGTTCACGTAAGCCCGGCACTGATTTCGGCCGTCGACCTTCGGGTCAGCATCTTATGATGTACAGTAAGCCCGGCAGTGATTCCGGCCGTCTGTTTAGTGGTAGTGTTCACGTAAGCCCGGCACTGATTTCGGCCGTCCTTTTGAAGAAAGAGTGGACTTCACACACACACACACACACACACACACACACACACACACACACACACACACACACACACACACACACACACACACACACACACACACACACACACACACACACACACCACACACACACACACACACACACACACACACACACACACACACACACACACACACACACACACACACACACACACACACACACACACACACACACACACAATTCGTTGCACCTGTTGTCTTGTTTTTACATTCTTTGTTGAATTCAGAAACCCAAGACTTGAAATGAAGAAAAATGTTAAATAATGGAATGGAAAATAAAGATGATTATTAAAAAAAAAGTATGCTGTGATTCTGATCTGGGAAACATTAAAGACATTCATAGCCAGTCTGCAGATGTGGTCTCTTTATTGAAACAGTAGTAAGTAATGTATACATGTTAACATTATAAAGAAATGAACAGTATAAAGAATGAATGGTATTTTTTATTACGTAAATATAAAGAATCAGATACTTCACAGAAACAAAAGATTAGAACATCTGAGTAAAAGAAAGATCATATATGATGCTGTTACTTGTTGACAATAGCACTTTTATATTGAATGATCTTTTAAGTGAGTAATACATGTAAATATGTGATATCAGATTCTTAAAGTGGACCTATCATGCTATATTTGAATAATATAGTGTAGGACCATACCTATATAAGGCATATTTATACTTTTTTTTTTTTCAAAATACCAAACAGATCATGCATTTTAGCCATGCCTCATTTTGCTCAATTTGCACTTTTTTTAGCCCTGTTTTTGCAAGGTTTGATTCTGTGAGAACAGCACTACCTACAGGCCTGGCATATGTACTACAGCGTCTATTTTTTAGAGATTTGGGTATGGAGGAAAATAGAGAGGGTTGTGTTTTCTGACACTTGGTGAGTTCCCTGGAACACCGGGGACACATATTCATGTATAAAAGACGCACAAAAGTGCATTTTGCATGATAGGTCCCCTTTAAATTACAGGAAAAAAAATGGTTATAGATTTTGAACAAAGACAATTAAATGTCATACTGGATTAGGTAATAAAAACAACCTGAGGGATAACCGACATGTTGACATTTAGACTGGAATATCTTTAAAACATACAAAATCCAACAAAATAAATATTCACAAAAACAATACCATCTTTATATCATCCTTAACTTGACTCAAACTTGTTGTCATGTTTACATGTTGACATGCTGAATATGAACTAAATGATCCTTTAATTGATCTAAAAATGTTAAAAATGTGGCATTTGAAAATGAAAACTAACATAATACATTTTGAGTAAATATTATAACATGAACATAAAAATGTAAATATTTGGAGCTAAATGCTTGATTGGAATAAAAAGAAAGACTTTCAGGTTTTTGGTAAGGCAATGACATATAGCACTCAATAAGGTAAGAACAACATTCATGTGTAATCTACATGTTGACATTTAGATTGAATGATATGATAAACATTGAATATGTAAATATATAATTGAAACAAAATAAGAATAGATTCTAACTCTCTGGGAAACGGTCACATGTCAAACTGAACTTGATTACAACAGACTTTCTGTCATGTTTACATGTTGACTGTACCACCACTAAAACACAATGATTCATTCACTGATTTAAAAATCTAAATGTGTGGCTTTTGATGCAGCTCAGAAATGAAAAGACAACAATTCTAAATGTGTCAATAAAAATGTAAATAATAAGAATCTGATACTTATTTGAAATAAAAGACATTTTATAATCTTCATGTTGACATGAAGACTGAATGATATTTTAAAACATTACAATTGTTAATGTGTTTACGACAAAACCACAGAAAAACATAAAAGCAAATATTTTTGCATCAGTTACTAGTGCTTTTTACAGTACTACGGCTTCCACAGATGACATTTTTTAATGTATTTATTGTCAAAGCATTTAATGTATTCATTGCTATCGGGATGTTAAGAGCATTCCATGGAATATAACAAAAAGTGTTTCTGAAGTAAATTACATACCCCACCTTTAATTGATACTACAATAACAACCAAAAAATAAGGATTTAAAGTATGTTAATCAAACTGAAACGTTTACAAATTCCTTGTAAGTTGTTGTTGAAATATATGGTCAACTTTGCCATCTCATAAACAGCATGTTACTTTGTGTGCTTCTCTTCATATAAATCAAGTGTAATCTAAATGTCCATGAGAGGATGATGACTGTAATGAGGAGGACGGGACCCTCTGTGAGCACAAAGCTTGTAGTTTCTCATTTGGAATGAAATGACTCTTTGAGGCTTGCCTCTGCTTGCTCAGGTGTGATAAGTTTCCAAGCTGCAGGAATATCAGCAGGCTTTGCATCGTATGTTAATGCAAACGCTTTATTGAACTTTGCCATTACATATTTCCAGTAGTCTGATGCCTGGAGGCTTGGATCTGCTTGGATTTTCCAGTCCGGATAAATTTCTTTGTAGCGCTTGAAAGGGTGCGATTGATCTTTTGTAGCACTGCAGAGAAAAGAAATGTCACTGTTCACAAGGGAAGAGCATATGTCAATGCAAAGTTTTTCTGTATCACTCCATCTGTATGTACCCAGACCCTCTGGTCGATGAAGTGAAGTGAAGTGCTCAGTGTGGGCTGTTCCTCCTGCCTCACAGGGTGCTTCGCAGAACGGACACTGTTTACCACATCCAATCAGTGTGTTGAAAAGCTCGTTCTGAGGATTCACATGAAGGCTCTGTAGTTTAGTTTGGATGTTTGTTTTCTTAAACTTCTCTCTAAGAGTTTGTGCCATCTCCTTCACACACTTAGTGAGCCAGTGAGCAAACTGTTCCTGGTCAGCCTTGTTCAGGGTCATGAATGCACCAAGAGCATCCTGGGAAATGACCAGTTTGTCACCAAGTTTCTGACAGACAACTTCAACAAATGACTTTAAGTTGCCACTCTTTTCTGTTTTAGCTTTCTGGATAGCATTATTTATGCTGTTGACACATGACTCGAGATGTTGTTCCTCAAACATCGTAGACCCATCTGAGAAGCGTTTCAATATTTTGTTGAATATCCATTTCTTTACATATTTCTCATAGGAGCAAATATAGCTCTGGTACTTTTTAAAGTCACCCTTTGAGAGCAGTTCCAGTAAAAGTGAACACTGGAAGGATATTCTTGTGCTGAACTCCTCACTTGTCCTCATTTCACCAATGATATCAGGACCCAGGGAGCGGTTTATGAAGTGTTCGACTGCAGGCTTCAAGCATCGGTCTGTGAATTCTTCTGCCTTCTTCTGGCACTGGTCTACATTATGGAACACGTCTTTAAAATCAGCAAGAAACTTTCCTTTGTTTTCGTTCAGACATCTGTAGGGATCCTTCTTTTGGATGAAATCTTCATGCATTCTCTGGAACCTTCTGGCTGCGTCTCCACAGATGTGCTGTTTCAGAGAGACTTCAAACGTGATGTCTGTTCCAACTTTGTGATTGTTTTGCAGCCTCTCATCAATCATGTTTAGAATCTCCTCAATGTAGGTATCATGGTAATTGCTCTTTCTTTTAATTTTTTCAGTCATCATCTGTGAGCAATCTGTAATGATGCTGTCAGCTGTTTGTTGTACAGCTTTTGTGTGACTTTGAGCACTGAATAGGTTTTTAAATCGCTTGATAAATCCTTCAGCTATATATTTAAAAGGCACCAGTCCATACTCTTTCAGGGTTTTTTTACTCAACAAACCATTCGCTTGACTTCCCTTCTGTTTTAGATTTGTTCTCAGGTGGTGAGACACACTGGTGAAAATGTCCTCAACCTTCATTTTTGTAAAGGAAAGTTCCTTCACTGTTTTAGTCCACATCTTGTCAAATTCTTCGTCCAGCTCTTTCTCTTTCATCTTGATGTTTTTCTTCCTACATTCTTCAATCAATGCACAAACTCTGGTCTCTAACTCCTTTGTATGGTTCTCCTTGATTTTATCAAGTTCAGTCATTCCCTGTCTGATGTCAGCTGCAGCTTTGAGTTGATTAAACACAGAGCTTTCCATTTCTTGTCGAAGGCTCTTTGCACTGTTTGCAAACTCCTGTCTGTATCCTTCAACAAGATAGACATGGCCCTCTGTTTGTTTGAAGTACTTGTGCAAATTTTCGAGAAGCTTTGTTTCCCATTTAGACAGCTCAGTCAAAACTTCACTTTTCAAATGCAAATGAAGTTCTGTCATGTCAGATTTGTCAGATTTATCAGCAGGTGTACCGAAGTTGGAGAGTCTTGTTTCAGCTTTTGTAACCCATGTGTACATTTCTTTTTTGAAGTCCCATTCCCATTTGTTGAATTCTGTGCACAGCCTCATGTATGCATCAGCCACGAGACTGTTTCTGAAACTGAAGATGAAGTTTTCATGTTTTACTGCCGTCCACAGGCTCTTCATCCACTCTGTAAACTCCAAGATATTATTAGCTGACGATCCACAACTTCCCAAAATGTGGATGATGTTCTTCTTGAGCTCATAGACTGCCTCGCTGTAGCCTGCATTGACTGGTGCCATCGGTGGGTTTCCATTCCAGAGTCCAGGAATGTACCAGTTTCCAGTGTCTGGGCTGTACTCCATCACATCAGTGAAGCTCATGTTCTCTTCTTTCTTTTCCATTTTGGCTGCTGCCTGGGTCATCTCGTTTAACTGTTGCAGGAGCAGTTTCCTGTCTCGCATGTTCTTGTCATGGGCTGAAACATCCGACACATTCTGGTGAACAAACTGACATTTGGGCTTTTTGCCCACCTCTTTCATCCTGAGGAAAGCGTGTACAACTATCTGTAGGATGTCCTTCATTTCTGTTGAATTCTCCATTGAAACATTGATGATGGTGATATCACTCAGCCCCACAACAAGTGTTGCAAGCTCATTGTCGTGCTCGTGGCTATTGTCCAGTTGTGCGAGCTCTGGTGACTTTAAGCCCTCAGTGTCAATGATCACCATGAAGTCACAGTTGAAGTCTTTTCTGGCATCTTCATTGATTTTAATCAGCAACATAAAGGCCCCTCGAGTGCATCGACCACTGCTGACTGCAAACTGCACTCCAAACATGGTGTTGAGGAGAGTGGACTTTCCTGTGCTCTGAACTCCAAGAACTGTGACTACCAGGATCTTGTTCTTAGGAGACACCAAGTCATTGAGCTGAGAGAGAACGTCACTCACCCATCTGAGAGGTATGTTGGATGCTTCTCCATCTACAAGCTCAAGTGGAAATCCATCAAGCATTAACTCAGCACATAGCTTGGGGAGATGCTGTAGTTGTTGACGTGCTGGGTCTGTTTCAGGAAGGGAAAGGGAAGCTTCATAAATCTGCCCCATTTCACGGAAGAAGTGTTCAGTCCCTAATGAGCTGTTGGAAAGTTGTTTGTCAATCTCCTTGATCTCCTCTTTGTTCTCAGGGTTTTTGCATTTTTCTTTGTACTGCTCCCTGAGGTCAAAGAGTTTTTTCCGAGACACATTATCGAGGTTCATTCGCATCCATTTCAGGAAATAGCACCTCTCTATCCCTGGGCTTGATATTGCATAGATGAAACATGTCATTGCCTTTGAGATGTCCTGAGAGTTCTGTTTTTCCCGAAGACGTTTTTTTTTGTAGCTGAAGATCACTTTTGTACTTTTCTATATTTTCAGACCCAACTTTCCGAAGCCGGAATTCTTCCTTCTCTAAGCAAGTAAGGTCCTTCCATATTTGGCCTTGCAAGGGAAGCTGAGCTTCTTTGTATTTAAGAAGGTCTTGAATTTCTGATGTGATGGCATCTGCATTTTTCTTCGCTGTCTGGCAGTCTGGAGAGTCTTCATCAATCCAGATTCCCAGTTCATGGGCAATGGCAGACATTTGTTCAATTCCCATCTTCATCTGTGAGTTTTCAAATACATTGCTGACTTTTTCCCGCAAATCTTTGACAAAGTCTGCATCATTCATGCCCTTAGTCTTTAAAAGGATGTTGCTATTAGTCAAGTCCAACTTGGTTGCTACCTTTTTTACAGCATCTAATTTGAAATCTTTGCTTTGACGGTTACCCACCAAGAAGATCTGGGCCTTGTGGTTTTGGTTGGTTAGCAGCTCACACTCAGAGTTCAAAGCGTCAAAGAACACAAAAACTGCTGCAGATGTCTGACACAAGAAAGCAAATTGTGTTTCAAATGTAGCAATGTCCCCACGAAGGTTAGCTACAGCAACTGGCTCGCTGAAGACATCCATGTTTTTGTTCCCACAAGGGAGGTACCAAGTCATTTCAACCAATCCATTGGATATTCTCCTTGGACTGTCACCACACTCCATGTTGGAGTGAACAAAGGTGTCATGGTACTGCTGAGAACTGCTCAGAAGCTCATTGAGGATCTTTGACTTGGACAAGGAGCACTCACCCAGTCTAACAAAAGATATCATTGGAAGTTCAGAGACAACAATTCTCTCTTCAATAAATCCCCTGGATTCTGAAAGTTTCTGAGGTCTGTACTTTTTAACAATGTCTCTCATGGCCCAAAGCATGAGTGTGCACTGCTTTGTGTCACAGTTGGGAAGCAACAGAGGCACGGAAAACTGACACATGGACATTTTGAGGGCCATTTCCTGCTGTACAAAACCATCAGAGCACAGGAAGAGAGCAGTGACAATGTCAAGGGGATTCAGTGTGTCATCTGAATGTGTACTTTTGTCAAGATTATCAAGATCTAAGTGATCACCAGAGTTTGACTCGCATGCAGATGTACATTTCACATTCCTAGCTGTCACATTAACCATCATTAGTTTCTTCAGAAAATACCATGGAAGATCTGAATTACACTTGGCAGGTTCATCGGTAATGGTCTTCTCGTCAATGCTTAGAACTGTGCTGAGGGACAGCTTCTCTCTGTAGTGTTGATCCAACCCCAGATCCTCCAGTAAGCTCTCTAGGTGTGTCTCTGTTTTAAAAAACAAAACATGAATATTAAACCCATTATCTTTCTCATCGATCCAATGTTTAGTTTTACATTTCTAACATTTGACTGAATTTTGCTTTAACACTGTTCTGAAATTAAATCTTGCAAAAATTATGACTATTTTGGGCAGTCAATCAGTAAACTGCTTGCCTAATGCATTGATACAAAACCTTTGACAATAGTAGAATGAAATCTTCTGTTTCAATTAGTTTTGAAGTTGGTCCCAAATGTCGATTTTTGTGAAGAGAAGACACATAATAATCTAATGTGCAGCATGCAATGAAATTGATGGAATTGTAAAATGACTTGAAAGAGGTGGATAGAGATATTTGTGAACACCAGAATACAGCAGATTTATGAAATGCTCAGAACTCTGACCTCGGGGTCTGGAAATTATCTGAAAAGACTCAAGTAGCGCGTTCACACCGGAGTACTTTTCCCACAATAGTTCATCAGAACTATGATATATTTGCGTTCATAAGAACCATTTTTACACAGTTTTCAGTCCCTGCTCGAGAGCAGGGACTTACGTGGGAGAAAAAAGTTCATACGTCTGATTGGCTGTGCGGAATGCAAACCACACCCGTTTGACTCTGAATTCTTTTTTTTAAGCGGCCATTGTATTTGCTCGCTTCGGGCAGCGCACCCGAAGAGATTACTTTTGTGAAAGCAGTTATTATAGCAACACTAAATAAATCATCGGAGCGGTGGAGTGATAAGGATGTGTCGGCGCTTCTGGCGATTTACTCGGAGGACGCGATCCAGAAGCTTCTACTGAAGGCAATGTCCGTGGTTCAGTAAAGTTAGCAGACCTGGAAAACCGTCCACAGCGCAGTCATGCCGGGAAGGTAAAATAAACTACATGCAATGCATTGTTTTAATCTGCACAATACTGGTCTCAGATGTACTTTTATTTGCTCGGTAGATCAAGTTAGCAATGCTAGGTTGAATTGGGTAACACTGTTAGCAGGCCGGAACCGAGCTAGCTAATAACATCTAGCTAGCTCGCTAGCTATTCTCGGCCGCTATAAAAACGTTTTGACTTTTGAATAAGTGTGCAATGTTCTGTAATTTGCTTCACTAACTCATGGCATTAATCGTGTGTTTCAGGCGAGGTGTTTCTCTCTGGATTGGAAACTAGTTAGCTTTCCCCTCCGGGATAAAACGATAATATAACGTTAGCAATTAGCATGCTAGCTGGACATAATGCTACCTCTAACAATACATTGTAGTTGCTATAATTTCATGAGTAATTTGCAACATGCATTCTACATGTTAATGTTAAAAGCTTAAACAGTTGATTACCTGCATGCCACAAAGACTGATGTTCTAATATTTTTGCACATTTAAGTAAAAATGTAATTGAAATTAAATTTATTTTTCCTTTTTTTTATTGATTGTTATAATTGTACTCAGCCATGTTATGTTAGATGTCAATCCACTTACACTGTAACTACTCTGGCCTTGAAAGAAGGTTACACATCTAACTGATGTCCACTAATCCCTATAAAACAAAGTTCAAGCATACATTAAGCACAAAACAATAAATAAGGGCACTATTTTTTATTTGATATTATTTGATCCTGTCTTATCTTCTACTTTTCACCTGCATTTTTTACACTGTCCCTGCCTGCACCATATCCAATGTTGTCTTTGTTGACAACCTATTAGGCGATTAAACTGATCTTGTATCTTGCTTATTTCTCCTTAGGAAAGCGGGCACGGGATGACAGGTTCCTTGACACCATCATGGCGATGGACCGCCGTGCCATGGTCAGCAAGGAGAATGAGGACCTGCGTGCCAAGGAGATGCACGACGAACGGCTGCTGCATTCACACAAGGCCCAGGAATCGGACGACCAGCTGCTCATGGTGATGCCGCACCATGCTGACTCGGCGGCGTGCCAGGTGGAGGTGTCGGCGCGCCAGGTGGAGCAACAAAATACCTTTCAGGCTGGGCTTCTGGCAGTGCTAAGCGAGCTGATGAAATCCAACAGGCCTTCAATAAAAAAATTAAGAAAAACTTGTCGTCGTTGATAAACTGTACAATGACTTGTTGGGAGGCGGGTGGTGCAGTGGTCTGGTGCGTTGGTGTTCGGATCAGGGGAGCACAGGTTCAAACCTCACTGCAGTCAGCATGTCGTTGTGTCCCTGGGCAAGACACTTCACCCCAAATTGCCTACACCTGGGACAGTTAATTTTGTATTATTGTGATTATATATATATGCCACTGTTATTAATACTGACACTTCACTTTGCACTAAGGTGTGTCTGCTGCTGAGCCTACCTATTGTTATTATATTATTATTATATATATATATATATATGTTTTGATACTACTGACACTTTATTTGATATTGAAAATGTTAACTTCTATTTACATGCATATGACACACCTGGGACAGCGTGATGCTGTTATTGATATTGTCTTGAGTGTGCAATAAAAGAGAACCTACATGGCGATTAAACAGAGCCTGTATCTTACATTTTTCATTACATTTCATGTAACTAAGCTTGCTTATTTCTCCTCTGACACTTTATCTTTACAGTGACCTGTGTATCATCCTATACATCACATGTAAGTGATTATTCTGATACCATCATGTTTCATCGGTTATAAACTGGCGAAGCTTTATTTATTGTGGCTTTCAAAAAGATAATTTCATTGTATTTCAAAATGGCGTCCAACACAAGCACTATTTATTTATAGAAAGAGAAATGGTTAAGTTTGTTATTACCAGTATTGTGAGTTCAATATTTTTAATTAATGATAGTAAGGGAACATCTTAGGAGTTAGTGTAGTGAGTTTCAGAGCAGTGTAATAATTATTTGACCTAAAACTAAATGTTTTAATGAACATGACATGGGGATTTGCTAACTTTTGATTTCCCCCATTTTACACGACACAAATGGAGGCCACTATGGGCCAAAACTAACACGTAGGTTTCTGTAGGGTTCATGGCAGACGGATGCAGTTGCTCTCAGGAGGATATATAATAAAGGTGTGTTAGCTGCTGAGCCTATTTAGTGTGCATACGACACACCTGGCACAGTTTATTCATTTCACACAGGTTACACTGTGGTTACATCCATAGCGCGTGCATGTCGTCGTCCAATCCCAGTGTTTCCCCTATATACAAATAGTGGCGGCGCAGCGCCGCTGCTGAAATATGCGCGCCGCTGCTAGGGGGCGCCAGCCAGGTACCCAAAAAAAAGAAAAAATAATTTAATTTTTTTTTTTAATTTATTTCTTTTAATTAAAATAATAATAAGTGGCGACCCTTTTTCATTTTTGATTGTTTGTTATGTGGATTTGTAGTATTTGTGTTACTGTATGTTCAATAAAGGTGTATTTTTGCTAAATCTTGAGACATTGCCACTGTATGTACTAGGCAGGGCCGATTTTGGAGGAGGAGAGCTCTCCTGTCAGAGAGGCTCAGTGAGGTAAAGGACTCTCTGAGTGTTTAGATAGTTCACTTTAGTCTAAGTTATCTCAGTGGGTCTCAAACGTTTTGACCACAAATTATGTAAACACATATTTCCAAGGCACTCCTTTATAATTATTATGATAAATAAAAACAGGTTTGAAATCATTCCAATGTATACTATAGGACAGTAAACCAAAACTATCGTTTAAAGTTGGAGAGATACAAAGATATGCATGAATAAATAAATGTTAACTAGGTAAAATAAGATGAATGAATGAACAATAAAAAAAGAAAAAAGTTACATTTATTTGTTATTGGCTATGGTAGGTTATTGGTTATGTTCATATACTTATTGATTATTAAAATGTAAACCGATCTTTTTCATATGGGTGTTTTAGAGTTGTACCCCCTAGATCAGGTCTCTAGTAATTGTGTGCTCAAAGGGCACCAGATTGAAGCATTTTACTTTAAAATGTTCAAAATAATCTTCCCGGGGGGGCATACCCCCGGACCCCCCTAGAGGATGTGACGTCCACCCCCCAATTCAAACATGTTCATACAATACTGAATACATTTGAAGCGATTTTGACGTATATTACCTATGTCAATAAGTTTCTATTTTTGTAGTGTATTTGTCTTTTGTAGAGATTTTTCATTTATTCTTTATATATAAAATCTTCTTCGCACGTGCACACACTAAAAAATTCCACGCGTTCCGCGCTCACATTATGCTGGGCCCACGTGCCTTAGCACCGCTGCTATGACTCCATCCTAGGGGAAACACTGAATCCTTTTGTCAATCCTTCTTAACCGCCTTCGCTTCCGAATCAGCATTGCTATTGCATTTGACTGGTCGACGATCTGTATTTGTGTTTGCTTAAATAACTCAGACGAAGCTCATGTCTGAGGTCGGAAGGTAAACAGACGCCTCATATACAGCAGGTGGGCGCGGCAGTATATGCGGGAGGTTTTTCTTCTTTTTCTCTCGGTTTTTTGGATTGCAACTTTAAGGTGCATACCGCCACCTACTGTACTCGCCGTAAAGTTGTTTGCGGCCTGCCAGTAAACCCAAAGCAGAAGAAGAAGAAGTGACGTCAGCGGTTCATTTGCCTAATCCACCCCCAGGAACTCATTTTGGTGTGAACGTGATCTGCTTTAGTTCATCAGAACTAAAAGAGTTCTGATGAACTAAAGTTCTCATGAACTATTGTGGGAAAAGTACTTGGTGTGAACGCGCCTAATGTCTTTATCAACCATGCAATAATGATTTTATTTGACTCACTTGTGTTGGCAGATGTTACAGTTGGCCTGCTTAAACTTCCATTCCGAAGTTTTGTAGAAACCTGTAGAAAGTAACACTCCCCTGGCTGCAGGTTGTTGAATGTCATCTTGTTTGTGTCAGTTGTCTCTTGCACACTGTCTCCCTCACTGCAACAAGTCACAATGTAACTCTCCACTTCACCAGCAGGGGGGTCCCAATGCAGAGACAGTGACTCGCTGCTGACCTGGTCGACTGTAATCTGCACAGGAGGGCTGGGCTCTATGGGAACATATAAAGGGTTCACTGAAACTGAAAATTCATATTCTGTCAATGTTTGTCTGCATTTTAAAGTGCAAGTAAAATAGGTGTAGTGACCCTTATTTGTCTGAAACTAACTTTTAACAGACATTTCGTAGATTTGTTCAGGAAGTGATCCAAAAGATTCAGAGAACACTTTAATATATATTAGATTGTTATGGATTTGTTTTTCAAATTTACCTGTGAAGACAGATAGCGAGGTTGCTTTGCTTTGATGTCCATTGTCTGCAATCCTTATGATGCTGAAGGTATACTCAGTGCCAGGAACCAGTCCAACAACCTTCACAGGGCTGGAGTCATCAACAGTCAAACAGCCTCTGTGTGTTTCACAGAAGTAATTTAACTGTAGTCTAAACCCAGCAGAGTTTTCAGTTGGTGGAAAGCCAAGAGAAACTGTCTCCTGGTCAGAATTAAGAACTGTTACTCCCCCTGGTGGAGGAACATCTGTCATAAGAGAAGAAAAGTACATCTCAGTACCTCCTCATAACGCTGCATATTCGTTACATTAGATCAGTTATTGACAGTCACACTTACGGTCCGACTCTGGTGCTGCTGGAGTGTTCTTTCCTTCCTCACAGCACGGGTCAGGGAAGGAATCTGATACATCATAATATTCCTTGGTAATAAGAAAAATATGTTTTAATTGAAATATGAATGAGTTAATTAATAATACCTTATTCACAATAGCGTATATGACAACATCTATTTGTACTGTAATGTTTTAGTTATTTAATTGTTTACCTCCTCATCAGAGCTATCCATTGCTGATACACTCTCAGCCATCCCACACTCTCCAGATTATTCAAACAGCTTCTCACTGAAAACATTGAAAATAATCATGTATTTAGTTGGGCTATATTAAGCATTTCATTAAATTATGCCGGTAACCTTAACTCCATTGCTGCTTGTTAGCTGCCTGTGTTTCGTTGTCAGTTCAGCAACTAACATTGGAATAATTTCAAACCGTCTTACTTCAGAACGATAATGTGTAGCCCTGCAATAAAAACGTTATAAACTACCACTATAACCGTTATTGATTTAGTCAACTTCATTTAACACCTCAAAGGTAATTATACTGACAAGTCCTTTGTGTAATTTTTGATTGATGACTTTGCATCAAAGAAGGCAAGGAAGGTCAGACTAGATGGCAGTTTGGGAGTTGAATTTAGAGATGCCTAATTCTGTAAATAAGTTATTTAACGTGTGTTCTGTTCGGTTTGTGTGTTGAAAGATTTGTGCAATTTAGTATTTTCATTCTATAACTTATATGTTATATTCATGGTTGCACCGCCCAGGGCACCATATCAGCTAGAACCGCCACTGAACACAATAGGACCGTCAGTAAACCAGTTTGCATAGTTCTATCAGGGCCGGCCCTTGAAATAGGCAGTATAGGCGAATGCTAAGGGTGCATCCATCCATGGGGGGCGGCAAAAATTGGGGGGGAAGAAAACAAAACCCACTATTAACGATATTTGATAACAAAACAATTTCCCAATTTGGGATCGATAAAGTACATCTTGTTATCTCATCTTAACAGAACTACGCCTACATTGCTGACAGCGCCCATAAACTATGGCGCTCCCCCCCTAGTCAGGTAAGTTGAAGTGCCCTGGGGGGCGGGGGGATTTTCTGAACTGACACTTGACCTGCCGTGACAACAACAAAAGACGCTAACTACCTGACGATAATTAGCCATCACCATGTTGAAACTAACAAAGCTATCTGGTGCCCAGGGAAGAAACAAAAGAAAAGAGGAGGAGGAGAAACGGGACAAAGGTACAGTAACGTTAATGTGATCATTAATCAAAAGTCAATTGAATAGTTACCGTTGATGGAACAGTGTTAACTTGCTGGCTTACTTTTAGACGATAGCAAGGTTGTTTGTTTGCTAATCAATAGTTATATTTAAAGTTAACGTCAATTACCGTTACTCCCACCTTAAATTCAGGGACATTTGGAAAGATTATTCAGATGCTACATCACCTGTTATATTTTCATCTACATCTGTTGAGGCGAGACAATGTTTGCCCTGCTTGTAGTAATAGGCTAGTCCAGCGGTTTTCAAAGTGTGAGGCGCGCCTCCCCTGGGGGGCGCCAGAGAGCTTCAGGGCAGGCGCAGCGTGAGAAAAGAATTACGAGAAACAGTGAAATCTAGCTAGTTAACTTCAGACAACTTTATGCGAGCGGCAACATGGATCGAATTTTAGTGAAGTTACCTAAAGTGAGAGAGGAGACAGCGTCTGGCAGAAAACGGAGGAAGTATGACCACGATTATTTGAAGCTAGGATTTTCATGGACCGGTCCTGGCAGGGGCGGACTGGCCATCTGTGTGTTCTGGAGAATCACAGAACGGCCGGTCGTCAGCGGGCCGTTGACAGCCGGCTCGGTTGGCTGACGGCCGGTACCGCCCTTTATTTTAATAATACTTACTTTGATCAAAAGCAAGTACCGTTCAAGGCTGCAGCCAGAGGATGATCTGAGTTTATTCCTGTCTACATTGCATCATCCGCCTGTGCGCATCAGTTTCTGTTTTCAAAATACCAAACAGATCATGCATTTTAGCCATGCCTCATTTCGCTCTATGTGCTGTTTGCTGTCTACGGGTCTGATTCTGCTGACCACGCCCCCCTGCAGGACAGGGGAGACGTGCTCTGATCAGCTGCTGGGCTGTCAGAAGAGGGGGAGAAAAAGAGATCTCCGTCCTCCGTGTTTTATTATATAGAGTCGTTATTCATTTGTTTTAAACCTCAATAAATAACAAAGAAGACCTTTGACCAGCACTTTTCAAATTTTGTCCGGAAGATTTAAACTTTAACGGACATCTTGACCGGCGAAACAAACTGAAACTGAAACTCTGCCGCACGGTCCCCTCGTTCCTTGGAAGAGGCGGAGAGGTGGGTGTTTGTCATCTGCTGGTGGACTAACCGGAGAGAATTACAGTGCTTGCCTCGACGGGGAGGGATTGCATTGCAGCGGGAGCAAACGCTTGCCTCGGGGAGGGAGAAAAAAAGCCACAGCGGAGAATAAACAGAAGGGTAACCATGGTAACTATGGGCGGGAAGTCTTCTTCACTGCTTTTGTGGCAGACTACAGCGCCACTTACAGGCCTGGCATATGTACTACAGCGTCTCCAGCGCTTTCGAACGGCAATGGCCGTGGCTGTCTCCTCCTGATTGGTGGAGTTGGCCCAATAGCCGTAGCGCCACCGTCCTGACGTCAGGACAGTGTTCAAATCTGGATCAGTTTTTATCAGATCCGTTGCAGCCCCTTTTTTAGAGATTTGGGTATGGAGGAAAATAGAGAGGGTTGTGTTTTCTGACACTTGGTGAGTTCCCTGGAACACCGGGGACACATATTCATGTATAAAAGACGTACAAAAGTGCATTTTGCATGATAGGTCCCCTTTAAAGTAGGGGTGAGTGTAATAAGGAGGCAAAGTTGACGTTCAGTGTGTTGCCGGGAGCATATAAGGATTTATCCACGATGTTGAAAATGTAAAAGAAAAATCAAAAAATATGTTTAAAACATAAAGATAAACAGGTTTTAAAAAGTTATTGTTTAATATTTTAAGGAGGTGACGCTACTCAGCCAATCAAATCGGTGCAGTCAGTGAGTCAGCACGATAGGGGGGGGGGCGTGGCTGTTCTTATGTTCTCTGAGGGGAGGCTCACCTTCCCACACTTTGAAAACCCCTGGGCTAGTCATTCAAATGCTATTCCTTTTAGCACAGGAATGAACATCCCCTTCATCAGGCCTTTATTGCATTGCCTTACAGTTTATGCTGTCTAAAGTATGTCCAATAGTGTAAAGTGTATCAGTGTTAAAATGCTCGCCATTACTGTAAATACTGAATACCTTAGCCTTTATCTTTAATATGCTATATTACACTGCATTTAACTGCTTCTTTGCCATCTGGTTAGATGCAAAAGCTGATTTTACAGGTGCTTCCCAAAAAAAAATTTTTTTTTTTTTATTTCAAAAAATGAAACATTCATATATTCTAGATTCATTATACATAAAGTGAAATATTTCAAGCCTTTTTTGTTTTAATTATGAAGATTGCAGCTTACAGATCATGAAAATCACTAATCCTGTATCTCAAAATAGTATAATATTAGATAAGACCAATCAAAACAGGATTTATAATACAGATATTTAGATCTTCTGAAAAGTGTGTTCATTTATTTACTCAATACTTGGTCGGGGCTCCTTTTGCATAAATTCGACATGGTATGGAGGCAATACATTCCATGATATTCTAATTATTTTGTGAGCTGCACCTGATCTGATTTCTATAATATGTCTTGTGCAAATATAATGCATCTCTTGATGGTCACATATACTTCTCTTCTCTCTTCAGATGCACTTTTGAAATATGTTGGGTCACCTGCAGACACCTTCTCCACCTCAGCACAGCCCAGCACTGCAGCAGCATCAATTATACTGTATATTAGGTTATTTATACTGTAGTTTACTATATTTAGAATATATTATAATGTGTTGTGTCAGCTCTAATTTGTCACCTTATTTGTATTGTATTTATAATTCATTTTATGTTACTTGGTTTTGTATTTAGGTTTTGATTTTGTATTTTTGTTGATTTAAAATAATACAAACTCAAAGAAACGTATAAAGCTTCTGTGCTTTTATTAACATTGGAATTTACAGTGATGCAAGCGGCCTGGAGAGGGGTGGGGGTAGGGATGGGTACCGAGCCCCGGTATTAAACGGGCCCCGGGGCTGAATTATTAAAGACCGTGGTACCGTTAAGCTCCGACGTTATCGGTCTTTTTATCGGTACTGGAGACATGTAAAAAATATGTCATGTGTATTATTGCTACACAAACATTATATTGCAGTTTTAGTGTCGCCAACTCCGTTTCTAAGATGCAAAAAGACTGCAAAATGCAGTAGTATTTTCGATCTCTCCAAACCAGACGAGTGATCTCTCTCCCCCGCCTGCTTGCGAGGGGGCGGGGCAGTTTACACACACGCAGCTGCTCCATGCAGCAACACACACACACGGAGGAGATGGCGGAGAGAACTAAGCACTAAAAGGTGTGGTTAAACTTTACCCGTCTCGATGTGGACAATGCTCGTTACCTAAAGTGCAATAAGAGTTTAGCATGTAAGGGCGGTAACACGAGCAATTTGTCTAAACATTTATCAAAAGTGCACCACATTCAGACGGAGAAATGCACCGGGTTCGACTGTCTTTCTAGTAGCTCTGTAGCCCCATCCACGTCAGGTGTTACAGTATGTATGCTAGCAGCAACACACGGAGTTAACTCAATTATACAAACATGGGCTAATGATTAGAGGTACATTTATTTTGTTAAAGTTTCAGCCATTCTGTTTACAGTTCTGTCATCACATTATTTAATACTATTTGTTAAAACATTGTTGTTTCTTTTGATGTGAAATACTATGTATTTAATTTAAATAAAAAGCAATGTTAGTTTTGTTCACAATTTGTTTATTTTCATTTTTCATTTATTCGTTTATTTGAATAGGGACAATGCACATTAATGAACACTTTAGACAAATAATGCTTCAAGTGTAAATATGCCGGATTTTAGCTTTGAGCTAATTTCCATCCGTAGTCCCTGACATACAACATATAGTTAGTTTACCTCATTTTTTTCTCCAAAAGAACCGATAAAAGTACCGTTAAAAGACCGGACCGATAAGCGGTATCGATAAAAGTAGTAGTACCGTTAAAACCTTAACGATACCCATCCCTAGGTGGGAGGGTGCCAGCTAAAATCTTGCCTAGGGCAGCAAATTGGTCAGGGCCGGCCCTGAGTTCTATGACTCATTGTGGGTGATTCTTACAGCATATGCTGCCCACACCTTCACTTTCATGAATCCCTGTATCATGTGAATATTAGCGAAGATATCTTTACAACGTGTATTAGCGCCATTGCCTCTTAGTATGCAACCTAAATGACAATGTTAAAGTAAAGGAACAACATATAGGCTATATAATTCATATAACATATCAATATATTAAACATATTCATTCATACGTGCACGCCGTCAGCCGCCCTGGAGTCTGGACAACAGGTGTTATGCCCGCCGAGACATGCATGCACCTCGCGGGAGCGCGCACAGTGTAAAGCGAAAACGCCCAAACATTTCAATGATTTGTACGGCAAAGTAGGCCTACGGTTTGGAAACGATATCATTTTCTTTTTGGTTCATCAATGGTGATAAATAATCTGAAGTCTATAGTTTATGAACATTAAGAGTCATTAATATTTATATTTTAGTAGCATTTCCTTGATATGATTGGTCTAAATTTGCAAGGTTTATTTGAGTAATCTTTCATTATTTCTCAGGGCGAACTCTTTTGTGTTCTTTTCGCTGTGTTTTTAAGCATTACAGACAGCTTTAATAAACTGTTATTCTAAAGGTTTTTAAATGTGGAAAAAATAATGTAACATCCACTCTGTCCAATAAAGTACGTGCTGATACACTATTTGATTCACAGTTTGATTTGAAGTGTCCTTACTCGAGGAACAAAGTTACTATGTGGATGCATTATTTCGGCAACGCTGGTTTTTTAGCTGCCAGCATTTGCATCCCCCTGTTATTTCAGCCAAGATGATCGAGTGTTTCCCGCGAGGTCCATGTAAAACACGGCATAACACGGCCTGTTGTTCTGTGATTTTTGATAACACACAGATGGCACACCAATCGACTCAACCTGTGTAAGGCCAGGGAAAGCCCAACATGAAAACTATTTAGGGATCTTAAAGAGAGAATGTAAACAATAATTGACAAAGAAAGGTTTGCCTACCTACCTTTGTTGATTAACCATGGTAGAAACGATGCCTCTTCTTTTACCCCGGATTGTTTAACTAGCCTACTGTAGGCTATATGCAATATTTTGTCATATAGCCCATGATCTGTCTTGAGTCAGGTTTGCATTTCTCTGGCGATGCCAAACCTGTTCCAGGCATCTCCTTTTATATTTCTAGTGCAGTGACTTTCTGTTTTGTTTCCTAGAAACGATTGTCTAGTTTACAGTAAAGTGAAACTTATGGTTGGTCTCAGGGGCGTGTTAAAATGTTCTCATGCTTTTATTACATGTTCGCATAACTGACATTTACATACCTTGTTTACCTGGCTCAAGTGGTGGCTCTGGGGTTGTTGTGTGAGCCACCACTTGAGAATTGTCGTCTTTTTTAAGAAAAATGTTTCTTATGTCCATCTTCAAAATCTCTGAGTCCGATTGACAGTTTAAAACATTGTCACAGCTCACAGGATAGGTACCTGTCAGCCAAGACTCTCTGGTTGGTCTGGTGTCTTGCGTCTGTTGCATTCACTGAACACGGGAAATTACAATCCTGCCGTCCTCTCATGATGAGGTTCAGGTAAAGCACGGTTAATGTATTATATTATTGAGGGAGAATTGTCCGGGGCTACAGAAAAAACATTCGGGGCTAAAGGCCAGGCGACGCTACCTCCTTTTTCTTAAGGTAGAACCCTTTATATAGAACAGAATACATATTAGTAGTACCTTCTATGGCCTGCGGGTTGGAGGTGTCAGCGCATGTGTCGGTGACGTTGAGTAAAATGACCCAGGAAGTTTGACTGCTTCCGGGGCACACAGAAAATAAACGTTTAGCTTAATGCTACTTTGCCTGAAGCTAATGAAATGCACATATTTCAGGCGTGAGCAATGAGAAAAGGCATACGTTCTGTCTTAAACTCGTATTTTTAAGGTAAGACCGCTCGGTACATGGGTCAACTACTCAGAGTATTGACACCGTAAATAACACGGTTATCTAGCTTAGCTCACCCAATGCTTTTGGGCTCAGTAACGTTAGCTAGCTAATGTTTGTCTAGCTCTAGCAGGTCTAGTTCAAAAAGTGACCTCGGCTCGTTACTCCGAAACTCAGTCACATAGTTAATGTATGAGATAAAAACGTTGGTTTTGTCCTGGCAAACATTAATACACTCCTGAACGACAAAATACATGTGTGGGATTACCAATATACACTTCAAAATACAACCGGCTGCTGTTTAAGGCGAGACACCCCAGGTGAATAGGGTAATTTTTTTAACTTAAAGATATCAGCTAAACATTTCTCCAGTTAATTACTTACAATAAGGCAATTGTTTTTTGTATTACAAGTTTTCTGAAATAGCATGTTTAAATATGCAAATGAGCCATTATCTCATGAAATATGCGCATATTTTAACACATTTCAGGAACCGAAATCTGAACTTTGGATAAAGCCAGGATCAAAATTATTGTTTCATTTTGTAGTCATATTAGTATCTAAGGCTTTTACAGAAGGGATTTTGGATATCTCTTTGTATCACTCCATAAATCAGAAAATACTGTCAACAGCCCTAAAATATCAATTTTCACCATGTTTTTAGGTATAAAATGTTATATAATTCAGGCTATGAATTATATATGACCAAACCCTTCTGTAAAAGCCTTCATAATATTGATAGGAATATAACTGGAAGGTTTGGTGTATGTAACTGCTACTGAAGTGGACATTTCGAACTCAGAGTAGGAGAAAAAACTAATTTTGAGAAAACGACCTTTAAAGATTGCAGTGTGACGCTCGCTAAACCCTCCTGTTATCTGGATGATAGCTTGCGCATCGACGCACTCCGTGAAGGTATTTCATGTTCGGGGTCATTTGTTTTTTGTATAACCTTGCTTTGTGCAAGTGACAATTGTTGTCGTCTTCTCTGTGAACGTTTTTTTCTCCGTTATTTTGCCATTTTCAGATTTAAATTTCTAGCGGAAAGCTAACCAGGAAGTGCTTTAGCACACCACGTGACACATCTGAACGAATCACGTTGTCAGAAATTGACACCAGCCAATGAGATTTCGTTTCTTGGTTTAAGACCCCTTTGCACTTTCACGATTGGTTGCTGATACAAAGGAAATGACCATATTTGGATCCGATGAGATTGTGCAGGAGAAACGGAGCTTTCCAACGATACCTCTGAAGACATGGTGCAAACAGCGGTCGCGGTACTTTATGTTACGTTAGAAAGCTAACTTTTGGTGAATGTAGGAGAAATCTACTGACGCAAATAGACAAACTATAGTAAAATAAACACCTAAATGTGTATTTTGTACGTTTTCCTTCCAAAAGCCTGAAAGAAAACATGTTATGGAATCAAAATAGCACAAAATCTCAAAATTGACCAGTGCAGGAAAAACGATGTTTTTGCCTGCCGTGTCTCGCCTTAATAAACTAAAAACAACGTTTATTTGCCCCAAGGTTTGCGGGGGGAACGCTCTGTAACCGAGTGTCACAGATGTGGCTAATGTTGGACGTCTTTCGACTGTAGTTTTCTTACCGGTAAAACAACGTTATACTTAATGTTGTAATATATTTTATTAACGTTAGGGATATAATCCATTCCATTAACTGCCTTGTAATGTTAATAATCTATGTCTATGCTACAGGTTACTTTTAGTTATGTACAATTTATGGTGTAGGTAGGCCTATATGTAACTAACGGTATTTTGATCATCAACTAACATTATCTGCTTGTTATGCACTCGATTAATCTGGTCTACAACATTTGAGATGCAATGGAACAAATATTTTTAGAATTGAAGAAAGAAAAAAGTGTCACATTGAGGAAGCTAGAATATTGTAATGTTTTTGTCCTTTAATTCAGGACTAGGGTACTTATATTTTAAAAGTAATTGTCTCTGAAGAATGAATGCAGGATCTATGATGTAGAGATGAAACTATAAGTAAATTGATGGAAAATGAATCAGCATCTACCCTGTATGATAATAAATGAATCTTTTGCCTAGTTTATTCATTATGAGGATCTACTGCTTTTCATTGTCTTATGGGATACTATCATGACTATCTTCGAATATTTACTGTTTGTTAGAGGTTGATTATGCCCTAGGGCTTTGGGAAAGACTTGATTATTTACTTGCATTTTGTAGATGAGTGATTATTTAAAAAATGATATCAGAAGAGAATTAAAATACTTGTAAGTTGCAGCCATATTAAGCCAATGTTTTGTTTGCTCGGAAATCTCATGACTAGTTTTCATCAAATGTATTTTCCCAGCTTTCCTGCTGCTGCCTACGCACACTGAGAAACATGAGTGATCCACGCACCCCAGGAATGTCCTCCGTCCCCCAGGCAGCCCCGGTGCACACTGACTCCACGTCTCCGGCAGTAGAGATGGAGCCCGTGGAGTACACCCTGAGGAAGCGCCTCCCCCGGAAGCTCCCAAAGAGACGGAATGACGTCTACGTCAACATGAAGACTGATTTCCGGGCTCAGCTGGCACGCTGTCAGAAGCTGCTGGAAGGCGGGGGTCACAGGGAGATCTGTGTCCACGGCCTGGGCCTGGCCATCAACAGAGCCATCAACATCGCCCTCCAGCTGCAGGCCAGCAGCCAGGGGGTGCTGCAGCTGGCAGCCAACACCTCCACCGTGGAGCTGGTGGACGACCTGGAGCCTGAAGATCCAGACGAGGCCGGCGAGCACCTGACGCGTACACGCAACAACTCAGCCATTCATATCAAGGTTTTCTACCCTGACCCCCAGTGACCGGAGTAGAGGTGTGTTCAGCAGCGTTCTCCATGAGTCTTTAAGTCCTATTTGTTCCCTCATGAACCAGTAGAGAGATATAACACTGTTGTCTGTGTGTGGAGATATTTGAGGACAGCAGCAGAGGACTGCAGAATGGAGCAGGATGCTCCGATTGGGACAACTTTAGTTGACTAAATACATTAAGCTCTTGTTGTCAATTGCAAATTGTTGTTTTGTATTTACTTTGCATGTGTTGAGGCATCAATGGTGATTACCACCTCAATTTAATGTAATACTTGTAGATATAGCTGTGCCAAATGTACAAGTGTCTTTCATTTCAAGGTCCAATTAAGGGTCTATAAAAAGGTTTACAGTTCCATGTCTTTATGTTTAAAAGATACAAATACTTAGAAAACCTGAGAAATCCTGAGTTTAAAGTATGTGATGTTGCAATTCATGTCCACTAGATGTCAGTAGTCTATCTATTTAAATGTTATTGAACTGCAGGTGGTGTCCATGTTCAGAATGAATAGGTAAAGGACAGTTTTCAGTAAGAGGCTGACCATGTGTTTGATTTCTTGAAAAATAATATAACTTGCTGAATGTTATCTTTAACGCTCTGTGGGTCAGGATCAAATGAATGCCAGTCATTGAAAAACAATATTGTCAACTCTGCTGACCTGAAGATAAAGATAATGAATGAAATGGACAGACTTCCCCTTGTTGTGTTTCCATCTATCTTTTCTTTATCCGTGAATAATATTTTGTATTTAAATAGCAAATAATACAGTTAGGGGACAAATCAACACAAAAACAACAGGAAAGAAAACATGTACAAACATCCTCAAAAAACAACTTGCACTTGGAACAAGATTTTAAAATACGGAAGAAAACAAGGAAGAACACTTTACCGGTCTGAAAGAGATGAACATCAACTTTATGGAAGTTCCCAGCGCTAACTAATTGCTTGCATGTTGTTTGTTGACGAATAAGAAACGGCAAAAAACAGTGTTAACGTCAGATTCTGGAAAACTATTTGCAGTTGCACCTCACAGGATGTTACTTGTACAAGCCAAACAGCTTTTTTCCGGGCAGTCCGGCTATCAGTGTGTGGAGACAGAGTGTTGGTTAGGCAGCAACAAAAACACAGATAGTGACAAAACAGCTTCACAGTTCTCATGTAACCCTCCAGCCACCTTCTCACTGACCTCGAGAAACTGTAACCTCTGCTCCAACTCTTTAGTCCTCTGTTCTGTGGAAAGGTGCGTGCAATGTGAATCTAACGGCTTGTTTTGTACAAACAATTTTATAAAAACGAAGACAGCAGCGTGCTATTGCAAATGATGTCAACAAACAGCTTTGCAATATTGTACAGTGTTACACAAGAGGACATGGCAATACTACAATCTTTAAGATCCGACACTAAAAAAGACAAGTTAAAAAGTAGAAAATCTGTATAAATAGTAATCGCACAACTTTAACATATATATATAAAAATATTCATTGCAAACAAATCCACAAGGAGGGACTAATGTGAGGCATAGTTGAAACATGTTAAAGGATTTGGGGCAGGGCCTCGTTCATTTTGGTTATGGAAATGGATGCTCTTTTGTAACCTCAGTCCTCCAATATTTACTATGTGTTTCACTCCAAAATTGACTGTAAAAAGGTGAGAGTAGGGGTACAACACACAGGGAACATACACACTAGGTACAGATTGAATCTGTCTCAACTCACACACACAAAGTGCAAGATAGTGCCAGTAGAACAGCTTGGAGCAGTGCTTCCCAAAGGCCTCATTTTGGTCAGTGTGTGCTTCAACATGTCACTGTTTCACATCTACTTTCCAAGGTGCAATCATCTCCTGTCCATCCAAAGCCTTGCTGGGACTGTCCTCTCCTTCCAGCTTCGTCCCCGTGTGTGTGAGGACGGCTGCATCTTTCTCTCATTCCACTCTTGGTTCCAGCAGCCAGCGTGCGGGTCAACAGTGTCAAGTCCCTCCTCTTGCCTTCGTAAACACAAATGAGCTTCGCCTGGAGAGATCAGCTGACGTCTTGCTGGCAGGCCTGTGCATCCATGAGAAGGAGGCGCACTTTGCCACGCAGGAAGTTGACGTGAACTTGAAGCAAATCTGTTGCCGAGGACACCCTCCATGTTCCTTCAAGCTCCGCTGCACTTGCTGGTGGGGTATACTCCTAAAAGACGACACAACAAACACATTGCTCTTGTTCTTAATTCGAAAAATGTGGGGTTTTTTCTTCCTCTTTCAGTAAAACATCATAAGCCTGTGCTACAACATGCTACATATCCCCTTGTAGGAATACGCCGTTTACTTTAAGCCTCAAACAAAACTACTCGTCAATCATTCGCATTGGTCTTGTCTTGGTAATTTTTGTGGGGGATATTTGTCTTGTTTTTCCAAGAATCAAGAACTCTGTTGTCTGCTCCTGATAATGAAACTTTTATTTTAGTGACTCTTGAGCCCAGACACAGACAGCTCATTCAGTTTTAGTTTGCCTCCCCACAAGGCTTTTGATTGGATCTGAATCATTCCAAAGGCTGCGTTGCCACAACATCATCAATCTAAGAAAGAGCTTATACAGCAGCTTCGGAGCCTTGTCATTGAAGCATTATGGTTGGATGCTAGAGAATGTCCCATGACATGCATCAGTTTCTTTATTAAGAGAGAAAACATAATTCCCATATTCCAAGAAACTCTACTTGAGCTCACGAATGATCACTAAATAGAACAATTAATCACATTGGATTTAATAACCACGGCCTCTTACATTAAAAGAGTTTATATAGAAAATTCTTATTTAAGAGTTTGCTTGATGACTACATACAATGGAAGTATAAGGTGACCTATAATACACCTGCAGAGGTAACTGCTTTTATTCTGAAGAGTTACAAATATTGCTGATGTAGAGATCCAGCCCTTTTTAAATCACATTTCGGCTCTTCACTTGAGGAGGATGATGCATCCTGCTGGGGCTCACCTGGATGTTGAGGCTGCGCAGCACAGCATTGATGCTGAGCAGGTTTCTGATGGAGTTATCTAAGTGGCTATGCAGAGCTGTGTTGGTGACTGAGGTCCTTAGCAACCCCAGGGCCTGTTGTAAGAGCCACAAGCCAGACTGCACCTCGTGGGCTTGATCTAATCCCTTGCAAAAATAAGAAAGACGCACAAGTTTAAGAGTCTATGGAAGCAGTACGGGTTGTAAGTATTTTTCTAGGAGGATTTTTGTGATTAAATGACATCCAGTGTCTATGAATTTGTATTATAGCTGTTTGCTGTTGGAGCTTTCAACTGTTTTCAGAGGTTACTTACATTTTTCTTCTCCCAGACATCAAAGTCGACCGTGGTTTGGGGAACAGAGACAGATTCTGACAGGCTGCATCCTTCTCTGCACGACTTCTAAGACAACAAGAAAGTGGTAATGTTAGGCTACTTTTATCCAAAGGTGCATAAGCATTCGCGGACTGCAACATCTCTGCAGCAATCTTCATCTGCTTTTGGATCTCAGTATGCATACATCTTCCTCTCACCATAGCGACTTCTGCGTCTCGTGCTTCTTTGATGAAATGGTCCAGGACCCTCAGGTCACAGATTGGCCTCAGCGGGGACGATAGGCCAGGCCGGGTCCACTCCATCACTAACAACAGCAAGGTGAGCAGTCCTGCCAGAACACACACACACAAATACAGTCACGTAAAAGTTGCAGTAACAATCAAGACAGAATGGGAAGCTAGAAGGGCACCTATATCATTTTATATATTTTTTTCTTGAATATGCTCTTGGGAAAAGTCAGATTCATGTCGTGTTTTTAAACTCCATTGTTGTACGCCGGGTCATGAGACTGCAGGGTCGTGTTCACATAGAAATTGAAAGGAAAAGTTGAGTAAAAAAATCACAAACAAAAGCTCCAGACTCTAAAGATCTTAATAGTTTTAAAATTGAGATTTTTCTCCAGCAAGTGAGCGCCAAACTACCTGTTATAACCTGAAGCGTCAGTAGTGGATTTATAATAACATAAAAAAAGATGAATGGGTCGCTCAGCTCAACTTCCCTATATAAACCTGTGACTTCTCTGGATCTCTTAAAGTACAGTAGAAGCAGGAAAAAAGGCCAACAACCAAAAACCAAATCATGACAGTGCAGAAATTAATGCTTCTATAACCCTTATTTAAAACAGGCCGTTTTTTGTATCTAACTTTTAACATACAGAGAGAGTACTGAACTCTGAACTCTGAGGAGAGACTTGGCAGTGAGAGTGCTTCTACTGTTGCGGGTCATGTGGGCACCCTGCCTCATTCCTGTGTGCCGCATGCTGAATGCACTCTTTGACATCAGCCTGGATGTGTGACGCAGAATGATGATAACAATTACAGAGGATCTTCCCAGGCAGAGACAAGTCTGGTACTGACTAAGTTCCCAGAAGTTCACTCACAGATAACTAGCACAAATGTAACTGTTCGGCAAAAGGGGTTCCATAAGGACTGACAAAGAATATTAAAAGCATTACTGGTAGTACATTTGTTGCAGTTCTATAAGAGATCAATAGTATAATCAGCGTAACCTCCATGGCCACTGTTCTCTATCGTCATGGAGCACACTGTGGATCAGTCCGTCTATAAAACTGCACATCTGATGCATTCAAACCCCGTAAACTGTATGTATATAGGGGGAGTTACGCACAGTGTCACATGACTTCGCAAGCTACTCATTAGTGCATTAGTAATACTGCATCCATATGTCATACACGTTTTTTAATCCCTGCAGATTTGTAGTCTAGTAGATATTAATAAACCTTCATAACATGCACATAAATAGTGTCTTAAAGAGATTACTATTTGGGATTGTTTACAAAGCAATGGGAATAAATCCACACGCAGCCTGTTTGCAGCAACTTTAAACTTTAATGAAATCTGTGTGACTCAGTTTGAGGATTGAGGATTAACGCTGACCTCCGCCATCGCCTACGTGAGAATTCATCAATCTAAACTGTGAACACACACCCACGTGCGCTACCCTCTCTGCATTCTGGGGGAGTTTACGGTCTAGGACTGTGGCCAAACTTGAAGTTATCACCTTTGTCTCCCATCATCAGCTGCCAAAAACCATGTTGCTATTCAAAATTGGCAGCGATAGTCAAGTGGCAGTGCTTTGGAGAGTGGCCAGCTTCACTCTGGGTTTGTGTCAGTTGTTTTGGAAAGATGACAGGATGCTCATGTGAGCTGATGCCTTTGACACGTTCTATTTTAACTAATTCATGTCAAACGGGTGCACAGGCATAGTTCAGCAATTGAAACCAACTGGATGCAGCACTAATGGTTAAATGCCTGACAGCTGATTAGTAATTCTATTTAAAGTTTATCTCAGGTATGGGATGGTTGCCTTTGAATGCTTTGCGCGCTCCTTTCTATTTTGAATGTGTCTTCCCAAGGACAAAGTGCAGAGGTGTAAATAAGTAGATATCAGATGTCACATGTGACATTACTTCCTGACCAGCTCCTCTTGACCTCTTATGGCTGTCAGTCTTTGATAACCTTTTGCTCTTTTCCTCTGACAGAAGTATGTGAAGACTGCAGATTCAGCTTTCACATTCAGTACCCTTGACTTTGCAGTCTGCTGTGTCATGCTAGAAATGATGACTGAAGGGGTATTTTCCCAGGGAGTAAAAGAAACAGGTCATCATTACTCAGCTATACTTCTCAGGAGTGTATAATACATCACATCTTAAGTGGGAATCAAACCCATAACTCTAGCAGATGTAGTGCCTGCCTTGCTCAAATCTGTAAGGTTCAACATAATGCTTTCCATTATCTTCCTCAGAGGCTTTATAAAGATCTTTTTGAGACAGGATAGTGTCTATTCCTCCCTTTATGAGGAGTATGTTAAGTCCACCAGCTGACAGTATTATGCTTCACTTGGAAGTGATTTCTTAGCTTAAGGATATTCAGACGATAATGGTTTAGCAGTATAGCCTAATGTAAAGCAGTTTGCCAGAAAGTCGCATAACACAATCTACCCCCATGAACTGTGGTGATTAAAAACAACCCTGAAGCATGCAGAAATAGGACTTACATCAATCGCAGGACAACTTTGAGGAAAACAGGCATTTCCAAGAAACCCAGACCTCCGGAGCTTTTAAATAGTCTCAAAATTCAGTATTAACTCAAACACGTATACATAATAGCTTCAGCATATAGTAATAACGTGATGACGACTTCTAAAATGCTCAACATATAAATGAATGCAGAACAATGCACACAAAGTCACGCACAACACTATAATATTTCATAAGCTCTTACCTCTACCAGTTTTCTGCAACATTCGCAAACAGGTGGCGCATCTTTTAAAAACATCGTGTGTTTAAATATATATGCAGAAGCTTAAACTCAAGTTAAAGGCACCAGGCAAATCCAGTAAGTCATACAACCAAGTGCACGGGTCCCAGCGCTAGTCCGACTGACATGTAGGTCCGAGCCAAGAACCTGTGCGCTGCCTCTGAGAGCAGTCGCCGACCACACTTTGCATCACTGTCGTGCTTTGGCAAAACCTTTTATTTGCCTCCCCTAAGGATAAAGTGATAACATGAGTGCCCGTTAGCACGAGGACGCGCCTTTTTACGCACCAAGGTGAGCGATAAAACATCAACCCGTGAATGCAGTCTGGCTCTGCGTAAAGCGTGAAAATAGACTACTAAAGCCGGTGTACGGAGGTAAAAAAAATCATGTCCATAACTCACTGGGAAACTCCATAGGGTCACAGGGTCCTCGCGGTTTGGCCCATAAGTCCGTCTATTGCCCACTAATTGGAAACGAAGCTCTTTTGTGGATCTCATGCACTTATCCGGTAGGTGTTTCTAAAAACTGATCCTGTTTGATTTTGTATTGATGACTTTGAAAATAAGTTGCATTGTTTTCTATGACAATCTAAACTACCTCCTCCCTTAAGGCAAAATTGTTTTCTTTCATTGTTATCCAGGCAATCCCTGTTTATAAAACGCTTGGCCTAATAAGTAATGTCTCAAAAAAATACGTGCGGAGACTTCCCATCCATTGTTCCGATGATATTCAGAAACAGTGACCTGGTATACTTTCAAAAACACTGATTGTGTCAATATTGAAATGATATCATACGAGCTCTTTGGTTCTGATTGCCAAAATCATTACGTTTTTAAATATAGGAATACTCTCATGCACATTCAGTGTACAAATGATGCCTTAGAAATCAAGGTTTGACACATATCAACATTTTCATAATCTGACATTTGAATTTGAGATTTATAATGTAGGTTACAGATATTTCAGGTGATCAGTAGCAAGTATATTATTACAGCACCCTCTCATCCCTTTCCCACAGTGGCACATGTCACTGTTTCCAGCTTGTGATCATCCAAACTCTCCACCTCCAGGGTCGTTCTTGGAATAAAGGCATAGATAGATTAGCTAACAGCATGTGCTCTTATAAAGTAGAAGAAGTAGATGCATGCTGGAATTACAGCAATGGAAATGTATGTTAAACTACTGCTACTCATAGAGACAGGCGTGTTGCAACTAAGGACTATGAAATAAGGAATAAGTGATTGCAAGTGGGGTAATACAGAATTAAGAACTATTTGAAAGATGTTCATTTCCAATCTTGATCTGTCAACCAGTTTTATAAAAAAAAAATTGTTATTATAATTTGTTTTTATTCATCTATTCAATATTATACATGAACATCATACATTTTTACATACAACCAAGTCCAGGGGCAGACATACAAAGCAACAAGACAATTCATACAGTAAATAAACAAAAAAAAGGAAAGAAAAATACATTTTGATACCTTCAGATTAAATGTTTTTAAAATATCAAATTAGTTTTGATTGCCTTCTTATTCCTAATGTTTTTTATAATGCTAATATATTGTTTAAATTCTTGATAGAAATGTACAACATTTGGTTTGGAGTCAGCCCATTTATTTTTATGGATATGAAATGTCCTTAAAAATACAATTAACTGCACAAAAAAGACAAAATCTGCATCCATACTATCATCCCTGAAGTACATAAGAATGTCTTGGTCCTGGAGTTGAACCTTTTGTCCTGTCTTTCTTCTGATAAAACATTCTACACCACAATATTCTACAATACAAGCATTCATCAAATAAATGGCTAATAGTTTCTTCTTGTAGATTACAAAATGTACAGGAATATTCAATATCAAGTCCAAATCGTTGCAGTGTCTTGTTTGCTGGATATATTGTGTGTACAATTTTAAAAGAAACCTCCTTAACTTTATTATTGAGCAAAAGATTTTTTTACAATTAACCAAATTCGTTTCCAATTGATGTTTCTATAAAGTGAAGCCCAGAAGAATCTTCCTCTGGGCAGCAGTCTTATCATAATGTGAGGTAGGCAAAGTCAGTGTGTGGCCTCATGCCTGGGGAGGCAGGGGATTGAACAATAGTTAACTATGCTTGATTGCCTGCACCTTTTGTTGAGCTTGCATGGAGCTCCAGCAGCAGGGACACACTCAGTTTGAGCAGTTTTGTGTGAAGTTCTTTGTGTCCCTTAACAAAACGTAAGTCCATTTTACTTATAAGAGTTCTTACTTACTTATATATAGAATTATTTTTGGTTAAAAGCAACGTAGTGTAACAATTGTACCTTCAAATGACAGCTTGGAACTAATTCCCACTGTCTAGTCTGGCGTACTAGTCCAGTGAAGCAGCTATCCTCACAATGTGCCACATTTAGAAAGTGATGGTGTACCCACGGGATACTTCTTCCCTGTTACAACTTGTATTAAAATCATCATAAAAAGCATTGGGGCTGTGATGCTGCCGGAAGAACTGTCAAAAAGCCTGGGAATGGGAGGGAAACTCATGACCTTGCCCTGCATCAAGGCAGAGCCAAATTGGACCAGGGGGATGAAGTTGAGCCCCTTTATGCCCCTGGCTCGAGGGCTCCCAGCACCCTCACAGCAATGATCTGAACTACACACCTCTAGACTGCATCTTTTACGCTTGTATCGCTATTGCAGTGACAAAAAGAGCAGCAACGACTAATCTGTGCCAGCTTTTTCAAAGAAATTCTGCAGCATGGATGTTAGACATAATCCATTGCAACGTTCTGTGGATATTATGTCATAAAATGAAGCCAATAGACTTATGATCAATATAGGTGCCAGGGTGGTATTTGAGGGGCATTGCTTAGACTGAAGTTTTGATATATCATTCTATAAAAGTTAACAATATGTAAATACAATTTAAATGTTAATTTCCCTACATGTCACATTGCATGTCTACTGGGTCTCAAGCCAGATGACAATGTTGTAAGGACTGCCGATGGTTAGGCAATTTAGGATGGTTATCAGTTCAATGCGGATGTGATGTCATACGGCTATTCTATTTTCTGCACTTAAAGCAGGCGTGTTTAAGTCCAATGTCCTCACCCTGACCTTTCACGGCCTCTTTGGAGCCAGAGTCAAGGAAATAAATTGAGATTTCCTGGAAATTCCCTGTGTGTCACAGAGGAGGGGGGGTGGGGTCTTCCAGGGGCCACACAAGGCTTTCCATGTGACCCACACATACTTGGAAACAGCTCCCATGTTTACTATTGCAACAATGTAAGGTGCATGTAACATACACATGGTCACACTTATATGTAATGGAGAGGGTAAATTAAAACATAATGAAAAAAAAATGTTATTTTCTGAATAGTACAGTATATTGTATCTGATGTAAATATGAATGGTAAAGCTTGTAATAATTTATTTGCAGGATTATTTAAGTTACATTGCAAAGAAGACTGAAAGAAATCCCTAATATATCTGGATCTGTAATTTTTTTTTAAACATTATGCCAAAAATGTGCTGCCCTAAGAGGAGGATTAATACCCACCAAATATAAATAGTTTTTTGCAGGTATTTAAATATCTCTCACATATTCTACTCCTTCTTTTACATCTTACCCCTGCTGATATGAGTCAGCTTTAATACTACATGGTCACCGCTGCTAAGCTGAGGACAATGTTGACAAGTTGTTGCACTGTTTGCTCAAAGGGCTGTTTGCTTGTGTCTGAGCCAACAGGGGAGAGGAGAGCGAGACGAGGTACGTGCTGTGAGCCATGCTCCGTGGTCAGGACAGGGGATTGGGGTGGGGGTGAGGGATGTGTGTGAATGCGGGGGCAGGGGAATCCAGTCACACTGACTCCTTGTTTGGAATGGGACACAGTTATTGAATTCAGGATGATTTAAAAGAGATGGGGTAATGTAAAGGGATGTGTTTCCCTGACTGCCAGAGGTAACAACCTAAAGAAGGCAGGGGGGGGGGGGGGCTTGAATGTACTATATAAAGTGCACAGCTGTTAAAATGGAGTGTGTGTGTTACTTACTTTCTCATCCAGGTTTTGGGCTCGTGCCAGCTGGGTCTACTCCTCTGGCGCGACACAAGACAGGAAGCTGACATAAAAGAATGGGACTGTCTGTGAGGGACACAGGAGCCAAGACAGGAGTCAGGACACCGACGAGGTCGGAAGTTATTGTTTCAGCTTTCAGGCTTCCATGGTGACAAGAATCTTATCCCTCAATCGAACACATTGTGATTCCATGGTGACGGCAACAAGTGTGGAGAACAATCCCGAACAGGAACCTCATCACTGGAGTTTCTCCCCAATCAAACGCTGTCATTTGGCCGATGAGTAAAGCATTTAACCCCGTTATACTCCATTGGGGCTACTAAGTGGCCAACAACTTAACACTGAAAAAACTTTCTTTAAAACTACTAATTTTACATTGAATATTAATCTTTAACTTTCATTTGTATTCAGTACAATGTGGTTATACATATTTAAAATGAAGATTATCCCCTCAGATATTCATTTGAACTTTCTCTTACTTTTTCTGGTTAGGTTATTTACACATAATTTTGATAATCTTAATCTGGTGTATGTGTATTTACTCCTTTTTAATTTAACCCACCTTGTTGTTTGTCCCTACAGCATCAGCTCCAACTCCCTGCTGCACTGTGAACAAAGCATATATCTCATTAGGTATGTCTTCAACTTAAAATAAGAGGCTGCACTTAATTAAACCACACATTATTAAACAATGATGTAGCTCTGTCTCCCCTCCTACATTTGATATGTTAGAATGATTGTGTTCCCTGTAGGAATGTGCATGGTAACCTGATCTCAGATGCTTATCAATTGCTCAATAAAAAAGATGGGACTTCTGCCTAGAGTAGGGACGCTCTGGGATGATTTTAAAAGCCTCTGGCACGTCACATGTGAGCGCTAAGGCGTCTTTTTCCCAGCGCTGTCACCTAGAAATGTTTGTCTTATTTGTTTTGCTGAACATGATAAAGGAAAGACACGTAACTGTAACCGTGGATTGTGTTCAGTGCCAGTAATCTAATTCAAATCACTATATTTGTATTGTGCACGCAAGTTGCATGGAGATGGTTTGGGTTGATGATGGGCAACTAAACAGAGCACTGTGGTTAGGGTTAGGCACAGATCCAGTTTTTTGGCAAAGGTTATTTAAATAAACACTGCATGTATCGAGGTTCAAGTGTCACAATCTCTCTATCACTCATCTCCAGCTACTTTCCTTGCTTAATCTATTATTGGTTTGTTTCTCTTGTTGCCATTCTCCCTCGCTTCATCGTTGTGACATTAATTCTCATTTAACTGTTTCGATATTTAACCAGGACCCTCATTAAGGATCTCTCCTGAATGTTATCCAAGTGTTTTAAGTTCCTAAACATAGCCATACAAATTGTAATCATGCTTTTTTATGTATACTGGGATTAAATGTGTTGTAAAATCCTTTTTACATACACATTTGCTGTTACAAAAGTGGCATGTCCTGTAGATGATAATCTGGGAAGGTCTTCCTGTTGGAACCCTGTCTGTTTGAGAGTGGCTCCAACTAAGGGAGACATCAAACATTATCCAATGTGTCTTGCCAAGACAAATACTTGCATCACACAGTGTGTAACATGTCACAACATTTGAAAAAACAAAACAGGACAGCTACAAGTGGTGAGGGGGTGTAGGGCCTTTTAAATATGATACACTACTTATCAATAACAATTTCAATTGGCCACTCAGAGACACAGCTGTCAGAATACTGTACGACTGAGTCGGGGTGGTTTAAAATATGCCAGGCATGTCACGTTATAACTAACACCTCAAACTGGATGCTCATAACTAATCCTAAATGTTACCAACAGTAGTTCCTTTGACTGCTATTTCAACAATTTCATTCACAAATGTCTTGCTATACAAGAGAATTACATTGTTCTTTCTGATCTCTGGAGCAATACACAACTAATTAGATAAGAGAAAGACCAGCATATAGATCTTCTTTAAAATTGAATTTGTAATGGTTGAATAAAGAGGTTCATTATCAGGATACATATCAAGAGGCAAGACGTTGTCTCATGAAATCTTCCAGGTTTCCCATGTGATCTGTCACGTTGCCTCTCAGTGGACTAAACTAGTGTCTCTGTTGCAGACAGGGGATGTAAAGCGCATGCAGTGTATGGCTGCAGAGCTGTCCCATTCTTACTCAAATATCTGTTTATTCTAGTGCGCTTCTTGCCTCCAAGATATTTTGGGTTCTATTGTAGTTCTTTGGCCTCTTTGTGGAAATTCCTCATGGTTTTGTTTTTCGTGGCTATCAATTTACATGGCTGACTGAAAAATGACCCATTCTTCACTAAGGAGATGCTCGTTTGTAAACAGGATTACTTTACTCAGCCCAAAACATTTAAATATTGAGACAACCAAATAAGTATAAGGTTCAAGACTACTGTGTAACTTCCACCATCAGTGTTAAAATTGGTCAGTGTTTGTTTTATCTCGGGTCATGTACAATTTCCTCAAAGTATGCTTTACAGAGTTTTGATTTAGGAGCATCCTTAGGCAAAACAAGAACAGCACTTGCTCAATGTGCTGGCATAAAGCATGGAAGTGTGATATTGTAGTTGGAATTACTAAAGTTTATATAATTATGTAGTATCATTTAACTGACACTGTCCAAAATGATAAGCACATCTTTTGCCAGAGTGAAAAAACTCTCCGCCTTTCATTGATGTATGAAGTGTAATACTCTGTTTACAATATGGCCAGCTCATCTCTTCTTCCAAAGTGTTCTATCTTCCTCAGGATAGTTGTGTCGGCTTACTTCTGTGATGTGTTAAAAACGGATGCACAGGCCACCAGGGTTCAGATCATATAATGAGTATAAAATAAATCAGGAAAACCAAAAAATAGCATCAAAATTTCCACTTTTATGACGTCATTAGAAAAACAATATGAGATGGATTCGTTATCGTCCCTGTCACCCAAATCCCCTGGTTTTGGTGTCAACAGTCCCTGTACCCACCTAAGTGTAAAGTAGGAAAAATACTCTTTAGTGATTGACTGACAGGTGGCCTGTCCAATGGGAGCGCGGCAGGGTGTGAAGTGGCCCAACTGCTGTGTCCGCTTCATGCTTCTCTTCTGTCAAAAACACACATTCAACAGGCTTAGTGACCATATTATTGTTTTGTAATACATTGGGTTGGTTGCATTTGTTTGTAAAGGGCAGAGCAACCTGTATTTAGCTGAGTGGTGTGGCCAGTGTTGCAGTCCTCAGAGGCACAGCATCCACACAGAGCGTCGTCTCCCTCTGTGGCACGCCAGCTGATTGACAGAGAAACATCTTGATAAAGCACCTCAGCTGGGATGCAACCGAACGACAACCAGTTGCTTTTCAACCTAACCTGAATGTGGGCCTATTGAAGAAGCAGGCTTTATCAAGATGGCTGTGCGACTTTTGTTTCAGAGTGGCTCTGATGTGGCAGCTGATGAACATCTAGAAAAAGAACATCAATTTAATTAAGTGCATTTAATCCAGGATTAATTTATATAGATTAACAATAATCACAAAGAAACAACACCATAGTGCTAATTAATGATGACTACAATGTCAAAGGAATGAATCACTCGTGTCTAATGTTGTTACCTGCTCCACAGTCTCCTTGTTGAGGTGGAAGGCTTGGAAACTGAAACATAGTCTGTTATCTTGCTTCCTAGGGAGGAACTTAGATGAAGACCCCGGTAACACACTGTCCATAAGACATCTGTCACAGAGGAGCAACACATGGATTACTGAAATGATTCCATAAATGACAAACTTTAGACATGAAGCTACTCTTCCAACCCAGTCAGATAAATGTTGTAACATGACAAAAATTGCCTCCGAGTATCCATTCAATCAATTCTTTCTTAGATTGTAATCCTTGCTTGGGCACTGCGCCATATAATGACCCTTTGTTGTGAGTTTTTTGTGCTGAACTATTCATAAATGAGTGTTACTTTTTGTAGTCAGAAGAAAATATTGACCCATGCTTAGTGATGAACTTGTAGCTTGGCAATGAGAGGGGGTCCGGCTTCAGCGTAGCGACACAGGAGTCCACATAAAGAGTGAGAGGAGGGTGCAGTGGGGCCTCCACGCTTGCCTCCAAAAACACTGCTTCCCCCTGCTGATACACTGAGGAACTACGAGGAGAGGGACAGCCGTCTGCATGAGAACAAACAGACATTTTTGCAGTCACAACTTCATATACAGTCCAGAAAACACTTTAAAAAATCTCAGAGAAATCTTCCACTGGTACAGGCTGGATTCAGTGGGCTGGTTTTACCTGCCATGGTGCGTAGGGAGAAGTGCAGAAGGCCGAAGACACTGATAGTTGATGTCATGGGTAGCCAGGTTGGGGTTAATGGTTCTCCACTCACTGTCTGCTTTCTGTGCTCACAAAGATAACAAATTGGTTACACAATCACAAAGTGTAGTCAGCCAAACACAACTCACTTTGTTCCTTTAAAATATAATGCAGCAAGAAACCCGAAATGCCATGTTGTTGTATGAATTCTTGTGTGTGCGCCTCACCTCTTATAATGGCACTCAATGGGTATGACAGTAGTTGCCCATCTTACTATCAAACTACCTGTAGAGGATGGAACCGCAGCATTTGTCAGCACCAGCTGGTTGGAATACACTAGCCAATCACCATGAACCTGTAAAGTAGCATAGGGAGTGGCTTAAAATCACTTTGTTCACAGTATTAAATTATTATAACATATTATCCTATCACTAACACATACATGTCAGAGCATTTTATATTGTTGTAAGAGGAACCCATTTTAGATACTTAAAATAATGGGTACATAAGTATTACAGTACTGCAGCCCATCATGTATTTTCATAAGTAAAAAGCAGTGGTTTAATATAACTAAGTAAATGTACTCAAGTGCAATTTTGGGGTACTTGAACTTTACTTGAGTATTTCCATTTGATGCTAATTTGTTATTCTACTCCACTACAATTCAGAGGAAAATATTGTACTTTTACTCCACTACATTTATTTTGTACCTTTAGTTACTTTGCAGATTTTGATTAATGATGTGAAATATAATCAACACTTAAATAAGACTTTAGTTACAAGCTACCCAGCAGTAAATAAACTAATTAAAAATAGTTCCACTTTTACCAGCTATGATAAACGCATCAATACATAAATAATTATAAATCAAAACATATAATATATATTATGATGAAATTTAATTTAATTTAATGCAGTACTTTTGGTCATTTAAGTATATTTTGATGCTAATACTTTTGTACTTTTATTTGAGTAACATGTTGAATGCAGTACTTTAACTTGTAACAGAGTATTCCTACAGTCTGGTACTTCTTCCACCTCCTGTAAAAAGTAAGTTTTAGAGAAATATAGTGTTAAGAGAAAAGTGCAATAATTGCCTCTGAAGTTTAATGGAGTTTAAAGTAAAGTAACATTAAATGGAAATACTAACTTAGGTAAAATATGTCCCAAAGGTTCTTAAGTAGGCTACAGTAGTTTGAGTCAATGCATTAAGTTACATTCCACCACTGGATATTATTACAGTCCCCTTCTCTTACACGGGACTCGGTGCCGCAGTCCTTCAGCCCCGCAGAGATGACCATGTCGGAGTCAACCGCCGGTCCCTTCGCTCCACACCTCTTCTGGGTTGAGTTTGCTCCAAGCCGAAGATGCTCAGGTTTGAACGGAACACCTTTCTTCTCAAAAAACTGTCTTTTAACGGTTATTGTCACTTCGACTTCTCCGCACTTTATTTCAATTCCGCCGCTTTCACGAGTTGCTACATCACTTTTTTCAGCCAAGCTAACGTCCAACGCAAACAGCAAAAGATGGAATAAGCACACGAATATTATATATTTTACCCGCTTCGCCATTTCTTTCTTCTAAATTAAGAAAAAACAAAACAAGCTAGCAATTTATAATTAGCCAACCGTCAAATTAATTACACACAGGTGTGCTGAGCTCGCGTGCTCTTGAGAGCTTAATGCTAGCTTCAAAGACTGCTCAAAACATTAGTTGAACAACATACAGAAGAACATACAGTATGCTGCGACTTGAAACAAAGAGATGTCTTATAATATTATGTAAAAAAAGAAAGAAAACGATAATAAAAGCTAAATTGGCAGGTGCAAATATTCTACAACTTTATTCAGTATTGTCTACTAAAACGTTTTATTGATGTTTGCAATTAAATAAATGTTCAAACGTCCCGTTGTATCGCAATGATGAAAAGGAGCTGTCATCTCCTGAAGGCATCATCGTCTGTAGGAACAATTCTAAGGCGGAACAAGACATTTCGGCAAGTGCTGCGATGGGACTGTTATTGCAGTTACACAAGGAGACTTCCGTGTCAACAGCTGTTAAACTGTTGAACTCCAATGCATAACGTTAAATGTGTAGGCTATTCGATCGAGACAAACTATAACAAATGGATAAAAAGTTAATGGCAGCGGAATCTGAGGAGATTGACTGGGGAGAGAGTGCAGTGGACGAAGGGAAGATTATGAAGAGGACCCAAAGCTTATCCGAAAGTGTCCACACAGGTCTTCCTTATCCACTTACAAATCCTGTGAAATGTTCTCTGATAAAAGGAGACTATCTCTACTTCCATTATGGCTGTGATGGACAAGATGACAGAGGTTGGGGATGTGGCTACCGCACTATTCAGACCATGGCTTCCTGGATTTGTAATAACTGTGTTCCACTTAAGGACAAACACACACCTCCACCAAGCCTCCCTGAAATCCAGAAAGCTTTGGTCACCATGGGGGACAAACCCGGCTCGTTCTCACCCTCCAGGGATTGGATAGGGACATTCGAAGCCTCCCTGATTCTTGACTATTTCTATGATGTTCCCTGTAAGTTAGTGCATGTTAGAGGTGGAGGAACAGAGCTGGAGCATGTTGCAGTGGAAGAGCTCCATCGGCACTTTGAGAAGCATGGATCTCCAGTCATGATGGGAGGGGACAGGGACAACTCTTCTAAAGGGATCTTCGGGGTGTGCACTGGGGGCGATGGGAGCTACCTGCTTGTCGTTGACCCTCACTACTATGGATGTCAGCTGGAGAAGATGGAGCTGCAGAGGCGGGGGTGGGTGGCGTGGAAGAGAGTGTCATCTCTGGATCAGTCTTCATTCTATAATCTGTGTATGCCTCAGACTGCCAACAGAGCAACATAAACGTACTGCAGACCTATTTCTGTTTCAGACTTACACTTTAATTATTATTTTTGAGGATGGAGTCTAAAAATCGTCTTATTAGTACAGACTTTGTTCTGCATTTTCAGCATGTTTGATTTAAAATAAGCTGTAGGGACATCTTTTGGATGAAATGAATAATTACAACGAATTTAAAGACCAAACTGCTGATAGAAATTGATACATTTCTTCATCATTGCTCCATTAAAATGTATTAAATCTGAAATCATCTTTGATAATGTGTCCATACATTCAAAAGTAAATGCTTTGGTTTGTATTCATTTTAGTATAACATGTTATTTACTTTTCAGGGTATGAAACACGGTACATAAGTTCATTTTCCAATTTACCTGAATGTAGGGCAATCATCGAAATGTCTGGATCAGGATTTAGATAGAACCTAACCCCTTTGTGGTCAGAGTGGTGGCAGCACTATACACAATCAACATTGTAAATATACCTAAAAAAAATACCTCAAAGTAGACCAAGCTAATATTTGGAATTTATTCGTTTTTCGACATTCAATTATTTGTAATTTTTTAACCAAATATGCTAAAGATTCTATTGTCGCAGGTTTTCAAAAGTGAAGAGTTACATCTTTGAATTGTATGGTATTTATTATTGATGTGTTAAGTCTAACAAAATAAGCAATTTGTACACGTCTCCTTTAATTTCTAGGATACATTGTGATAGACTTTACAATATTTCTTGAGATCTAACAAACCAATAGATGAAAAGAGAATGTAATTGATAGGGCAAATCATATTTTAATTTGGACTCACTCCAATTTCCCAATTTATTGCTTACAATATATTATTTCCAGGCATATTTCAAGCTTCTGGAACCCAAAACCTTCCCACAGTGAAATGTTTGACCACATTTTACTGCCACATTATAATTAGATATCTGGCACACAGTCACTATAGAAAATCTGGAAGTTCTTATCCACATCCATCCTCCCCTTGAGAAACTTCTCCATGTTCTTCAGAGGAACCTCCACCATGTGGTTGTTGACACGGTCGTTGAGCCCATAAGCTGCAAACACGGGGAACTTGTAGCGCACAAAGTACGGTGCATTTTGGTCAAACTCGGTGCAGCAGTAGGCCGACCACAGGTACTCCGGTACAGCCACCCGGTCCAGGTTGTTGCGACGGATGGTGTGCCCGGAGGTGGTGACCCCGGTGACCACGTAGGCTTTGCCCCGGCAGTAGTTGTTGAGACGTTTGCGAATTAGGTCCCGGTGTTCTGCCCAGGGACCGATGTTGAACTCCCTGATCTGGGGCACCACATTCGTCAAGCTGTAGGTGGAGGCTTTGTCCAGGGGGTCAGCCTGATGCTCGTCAGGATTCAGCTGGCCACGTTCGTACTGAACCACATCAGCGTAGTCCTCCAGCACTGCCTGTGTGTCCTCGAAGTTCATGTGCATGCTTGTAGATTGAGGGAAGGGCTCCATGTTACTGCTGCTCTTATCTGAGGCCAGCTATAGAGGGAAAAAGAGGAGGAGATGAAGTTTTGCTGACAATGTACAGTAGTTACTTCTAAAACGTTATAGTGAGAAATAAACGTGTAATCCTCATTCAGAGACTGTTACATCCAGACAAGTCACACAAATTATTTGCATAACTATGTACCAGAGCATAAATAGTTGAGGCAGCACTATCTTATTGAAATATAATTCAGCCAATAAAGTAGCTTATCTCAGGCTTACTTTGTTGCCAGTGTATAGTTCCCCTAGCTTTCTTAACTGCTTGTTAGGGGTGAATATATGAGGTATTTATGAGTATTTGTCTTTACACATAATGTAAGGCTAGATAAATGTATACAAATAGTGTTCATTAACTACAACATGGCACAATCCAATTTATATAGTATTCTGCATCTACAATAGAATAAGACTCAGACTGATAGAAAATCTAAATGTTTGCTTGAAAAAACACTCACCTGGGGCTCAAACATCCACGGGAAGTCCACCTGCTTCTCCCCATCAGACTTCTTGAATGTATATGCAGAATAAATTGGAATGTGTCTTTGGGAGTCGTACAGGGTGACAAAGCGGGGTTTATCCTCGTACCTCTGGCAGATCTTCGTAAAGGAGGTGCTGAGGTAGCCTCTGGGTGGAGTGCCCATGTAGAGGGAGTCCTTACAGCGCTCCACATGGTTGAAGTCCCCCACCACTCCTGCCTGGACCCCCGGGAGCCACACACAAGTCAGCACGGCCACGACAGCTGCCAGAGGTAAGGCCCGCTTTGCTGAAGCAGGTGTCATCACAGAAGCTCTCTTTTTCCTCAATCTCACCAACTACTAATATGTCCTTTAAGACCTCTTTATGTCTGATCGAATGTCTCTTTCTCCACTCTAAATCCACTTCTGTCTGACAAGTACAGCCGCTCTCTAAACTAAGTCAACATCTCCCAGCCTCATCTGTTCTCGGAGCAAACTGCTCTCCCATAAAGTCTTTTACATATATTCAAAGTTGCACAAGTGTCGTAGCAGTAATCCAAAAGGAGTGAATGTTATCAATCCAGGAGAGCATTTTATAACTGAGACCTGCAGAGGAAAGAATTATGCAAACCTGATATATATATAATAAATTAAGACCTTTTACTTAAGTTGTCCACAAAAGGCTTTAGATATGACTTTTTGCCTTTTAAGCTTGTTTTTTAGTTTTTCTCTGAGACAGAGGGTTATAGAATGAGGAAAAAATTCAGGATTGGAAAAAACGAAATGTGTTATGTCAGTCTATGTATGTGTCAGATTAGAAAAGGACCTTTACTCTATAGTTTCTTTAAACAAAATGCAAAGCAGCCTTCTGTTTCATCTGTGGCCTCTAAATGTACCCTTTTTATTCCAGTACAGACGATCTAAAGTCTGTAAATGTCCCAGAACAACAACAGCAGAGACCCCATGAGAAGGTTTGTCAAATGTAGTCTAGTTTTTATTCTAGTTATCTTGCTGCTGTTATTGATTGGTTCATGATGGGAAATCATGAACCAAATTAAATATCACAGAAATGATTCAACTACATTTTAGTTAAAGGTTGTAAAGGTTTATTTCAGCAAATAAGGCAAGGCGGGTACATTTTCGTGAGATTCATGTAAAATACAGTAAGAGCACTACTAAACATTTCAGTCTTTAGGTATGTATTGTTGCCAGTGGTAACAAATTTAATGTTGAGCTGGATTATATGAAGGACCATAGACTATTGTCACAGAAAACATTTTGAAGTTACACTGCAGGAAAGGACCAGGTTTAAATGATAGAATTGCTGAATAATAACTAAATTCAATTCAACTGCTAACAGAGCCATTTTTAGTGTGCCACTGTGCAAGTAAGAGACGACAGAACATGACCCAGAGTGTTATGTCTAAATTGCAGGCCTTTTATAGCTATATTTGTGCCTATTTATTTTTACTGGACCCTGGGGGGGACACAGTCACCCACAAAGATCCGAAAGTTCTGTTCTACAAAGGTTGTCTTCTTGAGGAACTCCTTCAGTTGCTGGACGGAGATTTCCAACACCTCGTTGTCCTCCTCCTCATTCAGGCCGTAGTGAGCGAAAGATGGGAACTTATATCGCTCGCTGAAGGGTGCGTTGTGGTCGTAGTCAATGCAGCAATACGCCGACCAAATGTACTTGGGCACTGCCACGCGGTTCATGTTCTCCCGGCGAATCATCTTCCCAGAGGTGGTGATACCGGTGACGATGTAGGCGGTTCCGCGGCAGTAGTTGCTGAGCCGTTTGCGGATGATGTTCTCCTGTTTGTTCCAGACTCTGTTGTTGAAGTCTGGCGTCATGGGCACGACATTGGTGAGGGTGTAGGTGGAGGCCTTGTCATCTGGTTCGTCCTGATGCTCTTCTGGGTTGAGGGTGCCACGCTCGTACAGGACGGCGTTTGTGTAATCGTCCAGGACTGCTTGGTTATCTTCGAAGTCCATGTGCATGTAACCACGTGGGAATGGCTGCATCTCATCTGTATCAGAATACATGGAGAGCTGTGTGGACAGATAGAGCAAATGAGAGGACAATGATAGGACAGAATGTGATCTGCATGAATTTCTTTTGTTTTAATTTGTAAATATTAAAGCATGCTGTTCAGGTTAAAACATCTCAAAGCATCTAATGTGCATTCCTTATTTGTCCCTTACCTGTGGTTCATACATCCATGGGACATCCACGCATTTGTCCCCAGCTGATCGTTTGAAAGTGTACGCAGAGTACACAGGTACATGATCCACGGTGTTGTACAGCGTCAGGTAGCGTGTCCTCTTGTTGTAACGCTGACAAATGAACCTGAGGGAGGGGTGTTCCAGACCAGTCGGTGGTGTTTCCATGTAAAGGAATTGTCTGCATTCTGAAGACAGCTCTTTTTCCACTCTCCCTCTTACCGCTGATGTTATTAGGTTGACTAACAGGAAAGTCTGCACCCAAAATGCCATAGTCAAGACGTTTTGTCACTCAAGCTGTGAAATGTGAGCTGCTCAGAGTACTGAATGTGCGTCTTTGGCTGTCCATGGAGCTCATTAAAACAGCTAACAGGTTTTACACTCTGTAATCAGGGCTCAATATGCAAAACAATTCACTTGAGCCGGTCCACCCACAGCTAGGGGGACAGCTTCAGTAGACGGCCAATAAAAAAATATATCAGATTTTTTCTATCTGGTGTTTGGCTTGGCGTTGGCCCCATATAGCACTTGACTAAACAGCACATCTTATTCAGTGAAGCCCTTATGTAGCAGCTGTTAAATTGCTTACAGAGGGATGTACAGCAATTGGCTGCTTACCAACGGTTCTTATCCCCTTTGCCTGGAGTTATCAAATGTTTTAGGCAATACATTTGAAATTAATTCTTCCCCAAAAACTACAACGTGCAATTTCACTTCAAAAACATCCAGAGAAACACATTAGTGAGACATCATTTTACAGATTACAGATTGATTTCACTACAGAATAGGGGATGGGGGACATTAAATTAAGTTTAAATAAGCAACACTAGAGATTCATAGACAGTGCACTCTGAAACGCATATAAGGCACATAACAAAACAGTTGCTTTATTCATTTTTTTACACACATGTTTTTTCGCAGATGTGATTGGCCGTGAACAATGTCAGAAGTTATTAGTATGTACAACTTAAGAAAAGTTAGAAAAAAAGTATCCATGGTGGAGATAATGCCTGTATGTAATGTCATCCTTTCACACTCATTTTACAAAGTGGAATCCTAACTTGTCCAACATATTTCCATCACTCATCACCCTATACCTCACATACAGTAGAGAGATATTTACTTTTCATCAACAGTATTGGTTAATAAAAATCAATTACCTAAATATTGATGCATGGCACTGCCACTTAAACAGTAAAGGGCCTTTTTATAGGATTAAGAGTTATTAGGATTGTGCTGATACTAGACTGTGAATACAGGATACAACAGGCTCTGCTGCTTAGGTTTGATTAGTCTTCTTATTCAGTAAACATGTAAAGGCAGGACTTCTTAACACTGCTTCTAATAGGTTTGTTTGAGTTAGTCCTAGTAGGTAGACAATCCATTACATCTAGTTCAAGATGTCCCATCACACTGAAACACTGGTCAAGTCTCTCTTCTTCTTAAAGGTGTTTTCTGACACACAGCCCTTGTAGAAAATATTCAGGTCATTGTCTGTGTCTGTGTGGCTCTTCAGGAAGCTCTCCAGAGTCTTCAGAGGGACCTCCACCACACTGTGGTCAGTCTGCTCATTCAGTGCATAGCCCCCATAACTAGGGAACATGAACCTCACCTCATACGGAGAGTTACGGTCAAACTTCGGGCAGCAGTAAGCCAACCATAAGTATTTTGGGATTCCCAGGCGGTCCCTGTTATCTCGTTGGAGGGTCCCTCCAGAAAGAGTCACCCCTGTCACTATGAATGATTTGCCGTGGCAGAAGTTGTTGAGGCGGCGGCGGATAATGTCCAAGTATGGGTTCCAGGAAGCGTCCAGGAGGTTTGTGAGTAATGGGACTACATTGGTGAGAGTATATGTGGAGGATTTGTCGTCTGGCTCTGATTGGTGCAGGTCAGGATTCAGCGGGCCCCGTCTGTATTCTACAGCGTCTGTGTAGTCCTCCAACACGGCCTGGCTGTCCTCAATCAGAGGGGGGGTGTCTTCAGTGAGGGGAAGGGCTCTCATGTTGCCACTGTCATCATCAGAAACCAACTGAAGAGATAAGATTTGTTATTGGTTTTATTTCTTGTATTTGTTTGATGTATTATGTTGCATTGTTGGAGGGGACTGGGACTTACATTATTCATTGCCATATCTACACTGTAGCTACTGTGCATATGACAATAAAGCCTTTGAATTGAACAAATTAAATAATTGTGGTTAGTATTTTGAAAGTGATGGTAATCCAAAAGCCAGGGGATTTATGCCAGTTATGAGTGGTTGGTGTAACAAACTGCTAAGACAATAATAATCCAATTAATGGTTTAAAAGCTTAAAGGAGTAGTTGTGGGAGATGTGCCTGTTCACATTCTTTCCAACAGTCAGTTTTATGTTTGTAAGGCCAATAGTGATTTTGTACCGGTAGGCTGACTCTCTGTTTTTATCAGCTGGCTTCAGAATAATATTCGACATAGTAAACGTATTGTGTAATATCAATGTTCTTATCAAACTCTCTCTATTGAGCATATGTTCCAAAAAAGTCCTTTATCTGTAACTATTCCTTTTAAATATAGGTGTGTTTGGGGACTTGCTTTTGTGATTGACAGGGCTTTTAACCAGTTAGCAATTGCTGTTTATTTGTCTGGCATGAAGGCTTAGTCTTCTTTACTACATTCTGTCTCTTTTAATTGGAAAATAAAAAAGCGTATCCCTATATTAGATATTTTCTGTTCCTTTGCAAACCTTCCTGTTTTCTTTCAGTTTGTTTGTCTTGTCTCTAATAACAACAATACTGACTGGTCTTCCTGCAAAGGTATTGTACAGGGATTAGACTATCCTGAGATGAGTCATTATTGCCCAAATAACGTTCAGGTATTTCAGGCTTAAGGGGAAAATAAAACAAACTAGTCTCTACCTGTGGTTCATACATCCATGGCGTGTCCATCCTCCTCTTCCCATCTGACTTCTTAAAGATGAATGCTGAATAGAGGGGGAGGTGGTGACTGCTGTCATACAACGTGGCGTAGCGCAGTTTGTCTGCATACTTCTGGCAGACCCTCCTCAGGTTGGTTCCCTTTATCCCTGCAGGCGGTGACTGCATGTAGAAAAAGTGGCTGCAGTCTTTGAAGCTTTTGGACACAGTGGCACTCACCAGGGGGGACGCCATCAGCAGGGAGAAGCTTAGGACGCAGGTGCCAACCAGATGCATCATCACACATCTGCACTAAATGAAAACAACAGAAAACGGGGTATTTTCCTCATCCATCGTGAGTTTGACATGTCCTGTAACACACCCTTTTTAAGAATGAAGAAATTCCATGGGGTTTGAACTATTCTGATAGTATGTCATCCTGTATTGGTGTTGCAGTCATAATCTAGTAAGGTATAATGACTTTTGGACAGACACTCAGTATGCAAAGCAGCAGTAGCTTAGAGTGAATCCATTGGTTAGACAGTGGACTTATCTGCTCCTAAAGTCTGTGCAGCCATGCATCTCTGCACATGCTTCTGTCGGGCTGTGTACATTTTCTAGTTTATGTCATGAATCAACACCCAGGTATTATACACTGCACATCTGACCATGGTACACATATTGTTCCTCTTGATACTATATTGTGTTTTCATCTCAGATATAATTAATGGAAAAGTAAAATACTTTGAGTCTGTGAGACATTAGTTACATGTAAAGTTGCAATTTGATAAAGCAAGCGTGTGCAGAAACGTAAGTATTTTAAAAATGAATATAAAACATATGTTTACTTAATGTAGGCTGATTAGCTGTTACTCAGATTTCTTTAGGATATATGAGTTATAGTAACATAAAGTGTATAATGATTCATGGTTTTACAATTCTTTTTTTATAAGTTCCAATTGCATATCACCAGATGATATTCACATACAATATTGAAGGTTTTATTTGATATCATTTTCACAATTTTCTTTTATATTTTTCATTCACTTGTACCCCCTTGTCGAGAAGTATCAGTTTAACTTTAGCCATCATGCTGGTTATATCCGGGAAGAATGGGCCATTTCAATGGAGCACAATATGTGCACAGAGCGCCCTCTGCTGACTAAACCCTATATTGCCGTTGGCAAAAGTCTCGCGCATGCTCAGTTTAGCATTGCTAGTCAACATGCTCTGCTAGTGATTCAGTTCATTTTCAAGGGTATTGATAGCGAATACCTCAACATATCTCCTTATGCATTTCAAGAATACTGCTGTTGATTGCAACGTGTGCGAAACAACTTTTACAGGAGTTCATGTAGTTATTCTACCACGCGAATGTGTATTATTGAGCTGGCTGTTTCTGAGTTATGCCAAAAATACAATGTTATGCTAAAGTTCTCCTCGCAGCGGAAAACGGCAAATTAAAAACACCTTTATCTGAGACACTGCATTTGAAAATACAGTTGCAAAGTGCAGTACACGTCGGTGTCCAGGCTGATAAACAGGGGTGTGTTTGCCCTGCTACAACATTGGTTAGCCGCTTGTCAATGTGCAGTCACGTGGTATCACACGGACGGCCATGTTTCCGAAACACAAACAACAAGAAGAGCAGCGACTAGGAGCCAGCAGACACATACTGATACGCAGCAGCGACCGTTGGAGGAGAGGGGAAAAATAATAAATAAAATACAGAGCACGACTTTCTGAAAGTACGATTCTGTCGAATGAATACGTTTACAGTGTTTAAGAGACCAATGCATACGAGATATTGGCAGTAGACACACCGTACCGACAACCAGTCTGGTAACGTTAGCTATAAACAGTGAAGGTAAGCCATGGTTCCTCTTTGCAGCTTGTCTTTTAGCTAGCTGGCTAACATTGGCTAACACGCTAACCTCGGCTCTTGCGACTCGGATGGTTTGGATTTATCTGTTGTGAGAGAAAAGCTTTTGCACCAAGTTATTTTACGGTTGTTGTTTCTGTCAGTGTGTGTTGTTTACGTCGCATTAGCCGTAGCTTCACACCGAGAGCGGAGTGGAGGTGGTCACATTGGCGGAGAAGGCCGGGGAGTCCGATCCCAACACTCCGCCCCCTCCGCCATCATATCTGGTGTCATTTGAACCTACAAGGCCTTTAAGATCAACGCGAACCGTATGCTAGTTTTGCTAGCAAACCAGCTAACCCGTCTCTGGTTTGCAATACAAATAAGATACGTTTGGTTGCAAATATTGTTGGAACGATAAAAGCGTCCCTCTTTATCCACAAGTCGACGTGTTGTAAGGCTAATTGGCTTGAAAGACGGAACTATTTTAAAGCTAATGTAGCTCGCTGAAGCTAGCTAACGTCAACGCGAGCTATTTTGTCAATATGTTAGCCATCTTTACGACCAAACAATGAAATACTGTAAAGTTTGTTAAAGTTAAAAACTGGTATACATTGATGTGAAGCCTCAGCATAGAGTTTTAGTCTATATTTTAGCAGCTTGCCATTGTTATCCCGCCACATTTCTAAGTGCATAACAGTTGTAAATATCTAAATGCAATATAAATGTTATGTTCTGCAAGCACAGTTATTCCTGCGTCACCTTACTTCAGTTTTCTCATAAAAAAGTAGACTCTTAAATATGTCCTAAAGTGGCTGTTGTGGCCTGAAGTCGAAAGTTTAGTTGTGAAATAGTTCGAAGTCATAAGGCGGTCTACGGATGCTTAGGCAAAATTATACATTCTTAATTGTTGCGGTAATGCATCGAGTGCCATAAATAACCCTCATTTAATGATTTCATGTTCCGTGCCTTTAACTGATAAATAAGTGTTATTTGCATGTATTTTAAGTCACGATCCACACTGAATTTCTCTAACATTACTTTAAGTATGATTACCAATATCAAATATTTCCACAGTAGCCCAAAGGAGTTTATCAAACAGTTGATGCAACCAGAGGGGAAATCCAAGGTTCCCATTTTCAACAGAGGGCTTTTATCTCTGTTTACAAATTATGTTTCTATAGAATGTTACTCTTCAGTTCATACATACAGAGGGCCAACTTCATCTTGGGCAAAATAACACACAATATAATTTAATAATGTACGGCCACACTGCAAGTTTAACCTGTCAGCTTTCAAGTTACAATTCTCTGTTGTCTTAATGTGTATTTTTAATTATTGTTAATTTATTTATTTAATGTCCCATGAATTGCTTAGATGGTAAACTGTTAAAGAACCTACTGCAATCATGTTCTTCTTAGTGTTATCCAACTGCAAAGAGGAGTGCCACATTTGTAACAAAAGCTTGTTTTTCCACATCATACGTGTCATATATATATATATCAAAGTATTTTACACTGAAGTAAAAAAGATTCATTTTTTTATAAACGAACTACAGACCCTTAGAGGCTTTTACTGTCTGCCAGTGCCAATGACTAAGACTTGCCGTGGAGATAGGTGATCTAGAAAAAATAAATCTTCTATCAATACTTGAATAACGGTATGTCATGCCATTTACATCTAAACGTACTACCCCCGACCATGGAGTTTTGGGGGGTAAAATAATGTCAAAATAACTTAATTTAGACCCGGGTCCTTGCAATAGACTCAAGTTCCTTGATAGCGTCCTAGTTCCGGGCGAACTTCCTGTGGTCTGAAAAGTGATTATGTATAACAGTATAAGCAATAGAGATTTATAGTGTCACATCGTTGTACACAAAGTTATTTCATATACAGAAGTGTTTAGCAAGTTGAGTGTTCGCCTGATGGAATTGGTATAAGAGGGCAGCGCTTCAGGCTAAATGTGATAACTAACACAACTAACACAACCTTTATGATGTTAAAAAGTAGTAAAATACATTCACAAGTATTAGTATAACTTTTGATTTATGGTAACAGCCAAGCAGGTATATCTCCTTCTGTAATACCCAGTTTTGCATCTTATTGATTCCATAAAAGTTCCTTACTCGTGACTCATAAATATAACAGCAAAGAAGTTATTTAAATGTGAGGATTTTTCATGTCATAAGGACAGTATAATATATGAGCATTTACTGTTGTGACATTTTGTTGCCTTGGTTTTGGTGTAGTTTACATGACTTTACAAACAGCTGCATGCTTTTTAAAAGCAGCCTGGTTACCTAAATATACTCCCTAGATTTCTGGATGGAAAATCTCCTGTGAGCAGCTAAACAAGGGGCCATGATTGAGCACTACAGTCAAAAGAACAGCTAGCTGGTTTCATGCATTCAGTGTCAAAATACCACAATGTTTTTCTCCCAGCTCAGAGTGCTGTGTGCAAATTGATTAAAACAGGCTAGTACCTTTTCAGTAACTCCAGGGCATGCTGTGAAAATAGTGTGTCTAGAAATCAAATTACACTTCCTTTCCTATCACATTATAGGCAGGCGGCCAATCTGTGAAAGTACATCCCACCAACGGCAAATGTTTTAAGTGTACACTTCTAACATGATCCTTTCCATCGGTTTTTTTAATCATTTGATTTCCTCTCCAACTCTGCTTACTTTTCAGTGGTGCTAAGGGAGGAGGACAGGAAATAAAGGAGTCACCTGGAGGGTCTCCGTCAATCAACATTTCAGTTGGAGCGAGAGAGAAAAAGGGACGGAGGGAGAGAGAAAAGAAAAGAGGAGTGCGAGTCGCGTCTGCTCTTGGCAGCTGTTCCAGCAGCCTGTTTCAGTGTTCTGGCTGTTATCTCGTTCCTGCGTTACCTTTTTTGATGAATCAACTCATATTTTTAACTTTAATGTGAGCTATAACTGCTGTAAAAACAGAAAAGAAGAAAGAAAACATTATTACTAGCAAGAGTGTTTTATTTTGTTCCATTGTTAATTTCCAAGTTTTTTTTCGTTTTTTTCTTTGTTTACCTACCATTTTTTCGGCTGTGAGTAGCAGGAGATTCCACTCTCCAAACTATAGTCGAACCCCCTTCCTTATCTAGTTAGGACCTGATATTCCTCAAGCACCTGCAACTGGCAGCTATTCTCTTTGTGTCTGTGTGTTTGGGGAGCTCTGTGACCACAGCTTAAGCACCACTCAGCCTTTTAGTCACCTAAGCCTAACTAAAGCCAGCCAGCTCTAGCCTGGTCCAGCACAGTCCAGCCTGCTCCGATCATCTGGACAGGGTAAGACATCTTCGCTCATTTTGACTCATTTTGACTTTACAGTTGCTCCAAGAAATAAAACATGAACCTTTTTCTCCTCAGATACTCAGTTCTGTGTGGACGTGAGGAATATGACTGCTGAGACTCTTAACTTCGGCCCAGAATGGTAACCAATCTTATTTCTTATAAATGCTCTCATGACGATTAAACAGCTCTTTGACAACAAGATTTAATGAATGTTTAATGTGTTATGATTTGACAGAACTCCATGAGTGGTTGTGGAGCTTTTGACCTTATCACCTGTAATGAGCAGATATTTTACTCCGTAATTAAACTGTAGGTGTTCAAAGCAATGTAATTGTGAATATTATTCATACTTTAGTCTGTGTTGTTTAAAAGGAATCTTGATATAAAAATGGTCATGTCTTAATGTTAAATGCCACTGTTGAATGTGCCCATTAAATGCAACGGCAATACACCCACGTGGAGAGATTATCTTAAATGCCAGGAGAATACTCTGCTGCATAGTTGATAACCTGGCCTTCTTTTTTTAGATGCCTCTTCATGTTGCAAATTAGGAGTCCTTTTACTTTTGCCGAGCTTCGCTGTAATTATTTTGACGATCAAGTCATTTTCATGTAAAAATGTGAATAATAGCTAGGTCCAGCTTTTCTGGCTTTTCTGTTTTCATATGATGCTTAACAAAATATCTTTTGGTTTTGGACTTTTGTTCGGACAAAGAGAGCTATTTAAACACCTAACCTTGGGCTATGAACATTTTTATTTTCCACTTTTTTATTGCACTTCATAAAACAAGAAACCAAAAAATAGAAGGCAGATAAATTGATGATGAAAGTAGTTGATAGTTACAACTTTCACAGACTGTTTTATCATGCCATCTCTAACTGTTGGAAAGCAGTTTTCACTTTAAATCAAAGGCCCTGTTCACTCCTGGTATTGGATATGCATCTTTTGTGATCAGCTCTGTGGAAGTAGGCAGCTCTGAGCACAGATGTGAATGTGCAGAGTGAGTGTTTGGCACATAAGAGAAAGAAAGAGGTGGATGCACCAACAGCAAAGTGATTATTTATTCAGTTAACTCGCTATCGATGGGTCCAAGTGACGCAGCCTATTTTCAAGAGAGCTGTCCACTTGTGATTGGATAACAAAAGCACATGTTTGGTCTGAAGAGGGCCAATATAGGAATTGTTGTCCTTTCCATCTCTCTGATTCTCCACCTCATCCTTCAGTGGACGCTTGTGTTGTGCTTAAGAGGGGGTGTAGTCTTCAGTTTGGTATCACTCAATATCTAAAAGCCTGTGACTGCTGTGTGCATTCTTGACTCTGTGCCAGCTTCGCAGAATATTTCTCTCTTTACACATCTGCAGCTGCTTTCCTCTCAGTGGCCCTTCTAGCCCTACTTTTATACTCGCACCTCTTGAATAAATCTAAGCCGTGGCCAATGTATGTGCTCACCGCCAGCTGTGTGGCTGCATGTTTACAAGTCCTTTAATGCCTGTTAGCGTTTCAAAATTATTTAGATCATTTGAGGTTTGGTTGGCAGAAGAGCTGTCGAGCGTGTTGGGCATTGTGGTAGACTTCAAAGTGAAAACATTCTGCCTTGCATTTAGATTTATGTAACAGTTGTTGGACTGACCTTTGCTCTATAAGACTCAGAGGATTATGAACGTATAGATATGAAACGTGGAAGATCTTTAAGATGTCTTTCTCCGTCCTGTTTGAAGTATTGCTTAGTATATCACTGGAATGTTTCCTTAGCTCACCATTTTATTATTCATATTAGTAGCAGCAACACCATTTTTACCCTGAAATGCCACATGCTGCCAACTTGTCTTTCATGATGCCTTCCTTTTACCTCTTGCATCCCACACCTCCCAGAGTTCCATGTGGTTTTGATGCGGAGTCAATGACACATTCTGTAGAAGCATGTGAATGGAGCCATTGTTGAACAGCAGGCCTTGGAACCTGGCCCGCTAGTAATAGCTTTTTAAAATGAAAATTTCAGATTGGAAAAGCTAATATATCATCTGCGTTGAGCCAAGTGTATTCAGAGGGACCCGCGTGAGAGGATGGTTGGCTTGCGAAGTATTTAGTCAAATATTTGTAGATCTTTTTCTTCAGTACAGATTAAAAGGAATTATATCCAGCTTGCACAATAGCTGCAATTTTTCTCTGCCAACAGTGGACTTTACACTAAGTTATTTACAAGTGATTTTCCTACATTGTATGTCAGCTCCAGTCAGTAGGCAGGAACAATAACAAGTGCCAATATGTAGCTTAAAAGTTCAGTTAGTAATTTCCTGTTGAAACACTGACACTGAAATACTGTTTAAAAGCGTTCATGTTAAAAAGTCTTACATTTCAATTGCAACACTGAGAAGTCTTGATGGTCTGTTGAACATTCAGACAAAGATAATTGATGTTAAAAATACATTATCCTAATTCCTCATGATTCCTGTACTTTTTCTCACGCAGGCTCCGTGCACTGTCCAGTGGGGGGAGTGTGACGTCCCCCCCTCCTTCCCCCGCCATGCCAAAGTACAAGCTGGCCGAGTATCGCTACGGCCGAGAGGAGATGTTAGCACTTTATATCAAAGACAACAAGGTGAGTGTGAAAAGTTTCTCTGTTCGAATCACTGAAGAAGACGTTTAGTAATGTTGTCAAAGTTAATGGTGCTAAAACACAAGCATGATTTTCTCTTTTAAATCCCATTTCCCTAGCTTCAAAAAACAAAACCTGTATCGGAAAGTTGTTTTTCGAAGTCAGGCCAAAAGTTTTGAAAGATAGTAATGTCATCCTCAGTGCCTATGGTTGTTGTTACAGGTCCCAGAGGACATGCAGGATAAGGAGTTTGCTGCTATTCTGCAAGATGAGCCCATGCAGCCACTGGCACTGGTGCCTCTCACTGAGGAGGAGCAGGTCTGCAATTAACACATATCCTCAAATACACTGATACCTGCAAATGTCAAACTGTTCCAGCTTTTCATGTGATATCTCATCGCGATATGATCTGAGTTTTCAAAGCGAGCGGTGCTGTTGGTTTACAAATGCAGCTGCAAACTCGCATTCCTCACATTCTTGCCTTTTGCTCTTTCCATTCTCTCTCTCTCCGCAGAGGAACTTCTCCATGTCTGTGAACAGTGTGGCGGTGCTAAGGCTCATGGGAAAAGGGGTGGGCGCCACCGCCCCAGCTGGAGTGGTCCGAGGACGAGGGGCCCCGCGAGGTGGTCGAGGTAACGGCAAAAAAAACTCCCAGACACCCATTAGAAGAGAGAGCAACAAATAAAGTAGAGCATTGATTCAGCCTAAGTGCATGCAAACAGACTCCACAACCACTTGTGCTTAAACTAACACGAGTCCAACAGAAACAAAAACACTGCCCAAAAAAAGCTTGGCCGGAACTACAATGGCTGTTATCCAGAGAAAGTAAAACAGTTTATTCAAGCCAACCACTGGAGTGTTTATTTCCCTTTTTTCTTCCACCATCTTGGTGCAGCACACTTCCTCTTAGCCTGTCTAAATAGTCCTCCTTTTGTCCACCCACACCTGTCTAAAACCACTTGGCTTACAAACTCACCTTGTGCACACAGCACTCTGCACATATGAATGGCCAATGTAAACACTTACCATCCGGTTCAGGACAGCCAAGGAAACAACTTGGAAGAAGGATGCTGTGCCGGTTTCATCGTTTGTCTGCAGCTCTTAAAGAAGATATAAGCTAATCATATATCAGTCAAATAAATTATAAAAGTGTTAAAAATAAGATATATGAGATTTATTTAACAGAAAAAGACGTATTAGCCAATCTCAAGCTCTTTCATTCAGATGATGATGATATTAAATACAAACCCCTTCTGCTCCGTGTGTATTTTATCAGGACGAGGTCGCGGTGAAGGTGGATTTTACCAAAGAAGTATTGAAGAACCGGAGGTGGGTTTTGGACGCGGCGTCCGAGAGATTCATCGCAGCCAGAGCTGGGATGACCGGTAAGAAAAACTCACTAATTGAAGGTCAAATAAATCATGGATTAAATTGCTTAGTGCCAAAAATAAAGGCATTTGTTTTCAAGGCTGAGAGAAGACGTAATAAAGTGTAATAAACTAGAAGGAAATGTAAAATCCTCACTGATATTTGTATTACAATTACAATGTTGCATAATTTACCTAGGTATCTTCTTTTATCTGGATAGGCTGAACTACAATATGTTTGTTACTCCTGTACTCCCAGATAAAACCGACTTTATGCTTTGGGCTCATTTCTCCTATTTTTTTTTATCACTTATTTCTCAAATGTTCCCTTCTTTTCTCAGGGGTGAGCGTAGATTTGAGAAGCCGGTCCGGCGGGAGGTCGGGCGTCCCGGCTTTGAAGAGCCTGTAGTGCCTGTGGTTCCAGGACGGAAGGATTTCACAAGGGCTGACAGCGATAACTGGCGCATCCTCCGGGAGGAGCAGCAGGAGGAGGAGGATGCGGCGGCGGGGGCAGGGGCTGGTGCTGGGGCTGGGGTGGTGGTGGTGGAGCCGGGAACCAACTGGAGACTTGCAGGAGTCCGCAGGGATGGTAGGATAAAAACAAACACGCTTTTATTCATTGTCCCGCCGCCGTAAACTCGTTTGTGTTAAAAAATGAAAGCTATACAAAGGAGAAACACCTCATCAGTCATTTTCTTTTTTTAGAATGCATGACGTGCATTCCACAGAACTTCGATTTGATTTATTCATACATGGCCACTTAGCGTTGAACACCTTATCAGATGTCGTGGTAAACAGGCCTGTGGCTTTAAGAAATGAAATGTGTAGAAATGGCTTTTTAAATCAGTGTAATCACAACCTTTGGTTCTCACTTGCGTTCGGATTGCCTAAAATACAACATGCATGCTGAGGGCTCATACAATTTTAAATATTAAAATGGCCTAAGTAGAAGATAATCAATTATACTAGTTCTTACTCCATGCTATCAAAGCTCAGTTGTGATGATGTGTTCAGCTGAAACAGTAGATATAGTGACATCTAGTGGCAGTGAAGGGATTTCTACCAGACAAAGTGGAGTGTTGCTAAAAGGGAGCTGCATAGAGACCCTATCCTCACTGATGGCTGTCCATTTCTCTGTCAGATGGGGGTCCTCGCTCAGCAGGCTGGCGGGAACACACCGGTCCCGGCGAGGGTCGTCGTCGGAAGTTTGATTTCGATTTCAGGGACGCCGATGGCCATGGTGGTGGCCGCCGGCGTGAGGGACTGGACGACGGAGACGGCCTGCCTGAGTGGTGCACAGACGAGGAAGACGGGGAGATGGGCACGTTTGACTCCTCTGGAGCTTTCATGGCTTTGAAGGTGTGTACATTTAATTATTCTTAAGAACGTTCTCTTCAAACAAAGTCAAGTTTTTTTGTTTTGTTTTATGATATTTATTTATTTTACGGTCAGCTCTCATTGAATGTCAATGAGTATTTGGTACACTTTTTAATTGTCTCTTCCTTTGTGTCAGAAGGGTGACAAGGACACAATCCTGGAGGAGGAGTTTGATTTTAAGGGGATAGAGGACGAGGAAGACGAGGAGTGCTACGCTGACATCGAGAGGAACAGTGCTGAAGAAGACAAGGGTGAGGAAAAACCTTTTTATTTTATGATTTTATAATGTTTTTGGAATCGTTCCCTTGCCAGCTTTATTATTGCATTGTTCAGTGAAAAATGATTTGTTCATAAGGCTTTTCCTATTCGTTCAAAAGCCCAGGAGGAATTCATAACTGATGATTGTGGCATCTTACTTAATGCTTTCCTTTCTTTCTTTCCTCCGCTCTCCCCTTACAGAGAGTAAAGAAGCTGGCTCTGCTGTAAGGGACTGCGAGACAAAGCCAGCTTCACCCTCATCCTCTCCTCCAGCACTGCAACACTGTACCCCCCCCCTCTGTGGAGCATCGGCCCAGCAACGCAGGCCTGTTGGTGGACAATCCTCAGCTGAACAACAGCCACCCTGTCAAAGCCAGCAGCGCGGCCAGTGAAGGTACCCCCTATTTCACGTCAGAAGCAACAGACCGATGGATTCAGTTAGCAGCTCTCTTAGGTACCTATTCTTTTTCTAATTATGAAGGCAATTCATGTTTTTTTCCAAAAATATATGTAAATTGATATGTATGTATTGCAGTTAAACCATGTGAAATGTGAATTATGCGTGTGAAGTTGGACAAGAACATGTGGAGAAAATAAATAGTATGAGAAGTTTGTTAGTATGATATGAAATATACTAATGGTATCAAATCTAAAGAAAGTAGGAAATGAATTATGGAACAATGCCAAACTTAGTATGAATATCTAGTATGGATCTTTTGACTTTATTATCAGATTCTTCCAGCTTTTTATTGAGCAATGAGTTTGAATACCGAGGCAAACTTAAGTCATCAGTGTTTGCCATATTCAAACTTGTATCTTGAATAACAAAATTGAAGCGTTAAGGGTCTAATCCTGTAACTGTAGAGCTTTTGGCTTCTTGGATTCAGCCAAGCTCTTAGTCATGTACCGTAAGTGTGTGGAACTATTGCCGCGTTGATATTTTGGCTTTGATATACAATATGTGAGGTCATTTAATATCTTGTTTACTAAACCTGCTGCTGTCTCACACAGAGCCAGTTGGTGGCTCTACCCGCCTCAATCCAACATCACCACCTCATATATAGAAACTCTAAAAATAGAGCCCATTGTTTTACTAATGTTTTTGTGTTTTTCAGACATGGCTCCTGTAGGGGTCTCTAAGAGCCAGCTGAGCCCCAGCGCCCCCCCTTCGTCACGTATGCCTCCTCCACCTCCTTCCTCTGCTGCTCCTCTCCACCCTCCACCTGGAGGGGACGCAGAGGACGATGAGGGCATGAAGCACCTGCAGCAGGTAGGAACAACAGGAGGCACATTTCATGCAGCTGTCTCAAGTGAAACAGAAAGCACTTGTAGCTCAATTCAATAAAAACAATGTGTTTTTCAGAATATGAATCCCGTCATGACGACATTTACATTTTTACAACAGCAGAAGTATAGTCAAGATGCCGTGTAAAGAATAGATTGCGTATTTAAAAACAAATAGTATAACCCAAGTTATTAATAATAAAAACACAATAAGTAAAAAAACTCAGTAGCAGTATTTTTTTTTTTTTTTAAAGAAAAATGTAAATGAAATGAAATTTAATTAATATGAGATTGAGCTATATATTTTTTTCAATTTGTGGAGCATATCACTCATTGCAACATAACTTCTTCTACACTTGACCCAAATGTAAAGCCTAAAAACTCTTATCTAAACCAAAACAACACTGGACTGAAAGAAATCAAGAATAAATCAAATACTTTTAAAAGCCAAATTTAAAACGAAGAGATCTTGAATAGGCACTTCAAAGTATTGATATTCTCTCAATGAACACTTCATGCGTAATAACATGTTTGTGTGTGAATGCAGCTGTCTCAATTGTTACAGGAATTACATTTCAATCATTTAACCAGGGATTATTTTTCCAAAAAGTAATCAATCTCCATCTAAACCAAAACCTACTTGTAAATCAAATCAGATCAATTATTTATAAACCATGTTTCATACACAAGAGCTAACACTTAAGTGCTTCACTAACCCAACAACATTATTTTCAAACACAGGACTGAAAAACCAAATACAATACATTTAAAAGGAGAGTCTTGGGTTTGCTCTTAAGAGTATTGACATTCTGTGTTTGAACATTTTAATGTGTAATAATGTGCTGTGTGTGTGTAGGAGGCAGAGAAGATGGTGGCGTCACTGCAGGACACTTCTCTGGAGGAGGAGTGCTTCACCCAGGCTCTGCAGCAGCAACAGGAGTGCAGGAACACAGCCGCCGCTCTGCCGCTGTCACACGAGGCCGCCATGAAGTGGTTCTACAAGGACCCACAGGGAGAGATCCAGGGTACACTCCCACACCCTTTATACCTATTATATTATGTATTATTGTTTTATTTGCAACATTACCTTTTTAAATTAGTCTTTTAATCTATATTATTCAGATTATTTCTTTTTTTTCTTTCATTGTATTTGTTCATTTTGCCTTCCTTAAATTTACTGAAGGGATCCATTATTTATTTAATTTTTATTATCATACCTTTTACTTCCTGTTGTGTTCCTTGCATTGTTATACGATGTTGGTATGCTGCAGCTGCATGTGTCAAAAGGTTTTACTGTCTGACCTGAAGTGAATTTCTTGTTCTCTGTTTTAATTTGTAATGTGTGCCATGTTATTCAAGCACTTTGAGCTGCACCTCAGGTGTATTATTATTATTATTATTATTAGGGATGCTCCGATCGATCGTTATCAGCCGATATTCACTCTCGGCCGATCGATCAGTGCTCTCTATAAAGGCCGATCAGGAGAGCCGATCACATGACGTAAAATACATGACACTTTTCTCTGTGCGCGGCAAAACAAGCTCGCCAAAATAGCTTCACTAGTCTGGCAGTATTTTAAGGTGTCCGAAAAAGACAATAAAATAGCGGTATGCAACGTGTGTGTGACGCAGAAATCCTGCAGCTCCACCCGCTGTGACGGACCGGTGAGCGGAGCAGAACACACATTAAGAGTTAGACCTAACACACTGAGCTATTTTATCTACCTCTCGAACAAGCTAAACTAGTTATAAATATATTTATTCTTCACTGTCGGGTCGCTCATTACTGGATCAGTGAGCTGCATGAGATACTGACGGGCTGTCAGGAGAGAGACAGAGGGAGAGAGGGGGAGAGAGGAAAAGAGAGCGCTTCCGCTCATTTCTCCCGTGTTATTATCCAAAGTTAATGTAAACTTGAATAATGTTCTTCATTTGAATTGAATAATTATGTTGGTTGTTTGTGGAAGCGTGTTATGTATTGAAAAATGAATCTGAACTTTTCGATCCGTTACGATTTATAAACTGAAGCAATATAAAAATGAGTCCCATTAACTGAGTTTTAAACATCACTTTAAATGGAAGATCCCCATAGCCCCCACCCACCCTATGATCGGATCGGCGATCGGTATCGACCGATACTGATTCCGGTGATCGGCCGATACTGATTCCGGTGATCGGCGATCGGCCCCAAAAACCCTGATCGGAGCATCCCTAATTATTATTATTATTATTATTATTATTATTATTATTATTATTATTATTATTATTATTATTATACTACTTACTCGTACATGCAAGGATAACACATTAATTCATGAATAAAAGCTGGATAAAAGCTATGTTATTGCACTGTTTGCATTGTAAACTCATTCATCTCAATGTAACCAGGTCCCTTCACCACGGTGGAGATGTGCGAGTGGTTCCAGGCCGGCTACTTCACCATGACCCTGCTGGTGAAGCGTGGCTGCGACGAGGGCTTCCAACCCCTGGGAGATGTCATCAAAATGTGGGGCCGCGTGCCCTTCGCCCCAGGGCCCTCCCCTCCGCCCCTGCTGGTGAGACAGCCACCACCGACGCAGCGCCCGCAGCCCACCCGGGGGTCCGCCGGGACTGTGAGTCAGAGCTCTGCCAACGTAGAAGATGGGGAGGGGAGGATGCAGAGGAGAGGGAAGCTTGATAGACAGGTTACGGTAAAAAAACAAACGATTTATTCAAATTCAATTCAAACGTGAGATTTCTGAAATTGCCCCCATGCTTGATTTTAAGACATGTCATTTAAATTTGTGTTCCTGCTAATGAATGAATGACCTTCTTGAGGAAGTGGTATTCAAACAACAGTCATAAAACTATATAATGTGGCCCCGTGTGCATGAAAGCTTCAAGTTAGTGGAGCAGAACAGGGCAGGTTCCATTTAATGCTGTAATGTAACGCTACATTGTCACAGGTCCCTGATTACCTATACATGTGGCAGCTGTCTGTGCATCATGTTGGGGAAATGCACACTTAATGTTTGTTCCTTTTGTAACTTAGAAGTCTGTGGTAACAAATAATTGACAATTCCCCCCCCCAAGAAGTTCTTGCTTAGCTATAGCACATTTTTTATTAGATAGCTGTTGTGGTGTATTGAGTTAGAATATACATTTTATTGACTGGTGGTCGCTGTTTCTTTCAGGGGAACCTGGACCAGGACCGCCTGAAAAAGCAACAGGAGCTGGCGGCAGCAGCAGCTCTCTATCAGCAGCTCCAACAGCAGCAGCTATTCCAGCTCATTAATAGGTAGGTTAATGGAACTATTCCTTTACATGTCTGAGCATTGTTTTGTGTTTGTGCCCTAGTTTCTTTCCTTTTACAGAGGGGATTTAGACTTTTGGACTTTCCGTGTTTGATTTAGCTTCTTTTGTCCAAGGTGCAGTGAGCAGGGTATGATGCCTTCGATGAACAGGTCGATGTCAGTGCCAGATACAGGGTCCATGTGGGACATGCATACCTCAGCTTCACAGCCGTCAGGTACGCTTTACACTGGCTTTGAATGTCCACAAAACAACACGTCTTTACCTCATTGCGCTTAAATAACCCGTTTTGTTTCCATGTAGGCGGTGAAGCCAGTCTTTGGGACATAACAATGAATCCTTCTACTCAGGGTCCAACTCTCGAACAGCTTCAAAAGGTGGCTTCAGTTGTAAGACTTCCATTTTATCTACATTTAGATTTCAATGTTTCCATACATCTTTTATGCGATCAGTCATTTTTACTCTATCTTATTGTCAACAGCGAAAAACTTTGATTTGAACTGCTAGCTAGAGAAATTGTAAGCAATGCTAGCAGGCACAATAACTGTAAACACAATGATTGTCTCTGATGCAATATTTATTTAGCTTAACTTCTTAGTTAATGCATTTGACATCGTTTGACTCCTGATGTGTTCCCTTCAGCTCCAGCAGGAGAGGAGAGACGCTGAACTCAGGGCGAAGCGTGAAGAGGAGGAGCAGCGTAAGAGGAGGGAGGAGAAGAGGAGGCTTCAGGAGGAGCAGAAGAGGAGGGAGGAAGAGGAGCTCTTCAGACGCAAGCAGGTGAGTTGCAGGATCTGATTTGCTGTATTTTCATTATGCAAGCTAGGCTCATTAAAGCTGACATTTGATTTCACAAGTTAGACATCCAAGTAGTGCGCCATTGATGATGCCGTTTGAGAATAACATGCAATGAGAATGGCTTTTCAGCTTATTATGTTGTTCATTTCAAACCTCTGTTCTCTCTCCCTGCAGTGTCGTCAGCAGCAAGAGCTGATCATGAAGTTGCTGCAGCAGACTCCCCAGCAGCAGGGTCCTGGGGCAGGCAGCTCAGGCTGGAGCGGGGCCCCCTCCTCAGGGCTCTCCAAGGCAGGAAAGCCCCCTGCTCTGGCTCTGCTGGAGATGCAGCAGGAGGCAGAGAGGCTCCTGAAGCAGCAGCAGCAGCAACAGAGAGCCCAGCAGCAGAGAGAGCGCGTGAGTTTTAAATGAACTGTTTCATACAGACAGTCAGAGAGAGAATGCCGATAGAAGATTTTTCTAAATGATTTTTCTGTCTGTTTCCAGCTCTCTGGCATGTCGATGGGGAGCTCCTCCATGGGCGGGCAGTGGGCGGATGGTGTTGGCATGTGGGGCGGGCCTGGAGGGATGGAGGGCAAGAGCAGCAGTGGAAGCTCTTCAGGCAGCATGGGCATGTGGGACGAGGCTGTGAAGAACCAAGCCAGCCTGCGTGGCAACAGCAACAACAACATGGGCCTGAAGAACAGCCGCAGCAGCCCCTCACTCAGGTACAGGAAGCCAAAAAGGAATATTTCAAATACTCCGTTTTTTTTTTTGTTCACCTTCAGTGGCATATGGCATTCTAATATTAAAGTTATAGGTGTCCATGTTTCAGTTATGGTTGTATGTCCTCTGCAGTGATCAGTACATGATGCGTAGGAAGCGGACTGAGGACGAGGACAAGCTGCTGAAGCTGCTGCAGGGCATGAAGCCTCAGGACGGCTTCACTACCTGGTGTGAACAGATGCTGCACGCTCTCAACACCTCTGCCAACAACTCCTCCTCCTCACTGGATGGTAGGCCGATTTATGAATTTAGCTAGGTTAAGGTTAATAAAACTCCCCCCGGAACTTAGTTCAAAAATGTTTTGGCTTTATTTAAATTGATCTCAAAAAGTTCCTAGAATTTCTAATCATTTCAACTTTATGTCTTTATTAAGTTTCCACAATTGTGGCCTACCTGAAGGAGGTGGAGTCTCCCTATGCAGTGCTGGAGTTCATCCGGTCCTACCTAGGGGACACAGTGGAAGCCAAAGAGTTCGCCAAACAGTTCCTGGAGCGACGTGCCAAACAGAAAGCCAACCAACAGAGACAGCAGCAGCAGGTAGGCCTGAGCTACACATGTCTGTCTTTTTAAATGAGAACAGCATACTACAAAAACCTAACTAACTGTGATTCGCTGATCAAGCATATACATTACACATGTAAAGAAAAACAGGACCAGGCACCCAGTACCTTTTGAATATCTGGGAAATTGTTCTAATTATACTCAGTGTTAATAAGGAGAAAAGAAAATAGCTTATCCATAATTGTGAATGTTTGTCTTAAAAAGCCAGGCTTCTAAAACACCATGATGTATGTGTTAGAATATAATGAAAAGGCAACATCAAATAAACTGGCTCAAAGTGTGCTTTTTTCTCTTGATGTATCCCAGTTATCAAAGGAAGTGGCTGGATTGAACATGAACTTCCCTCTGCAGGTCAGAAAACATTTTCTTTGTAAACAATAACGCACTAGCAGTTACTAAAGGCTATAACAAGAAAGGGCTTTACATTTGTAAAAGTTGCTTTTGATTCACACATTTATTTGTATTTCCCTTTTTCTTAGGACTCAATGCGAGGAATGAATCCAAGCACCCTGCAGTCCATGTTTCAAGCCAACCACATGGGCAAGTCTGGTCTCTATGACAACCAGGGAGGGAAGATGAAGAAGAAACAGCCCATGATGCTGCACCCTGACCCCAGCATCTTGGGTACGTGACCTCAACACCATTTTATATTTCTTCCTATTGTCTTCATTCATCTGTAAATGCTCAGAATCTATTATTAGCTAGCTCTAAATAGCTTGACCCCAGATTAGCATTATGATTATACAAAACACAGCCAGTCAGCAACACGTGTACATCAAGAGTTAACACACAAACAAGCCAACATGGAAACTGTTTTCATCATCTGGATTCAAAAGGAGTCCCACAAAGGCAAAAAGACAGCTTTCTGAAGCACCAGCAGAAAGTAATAGTCTTCTTGGAGACGTGTTTGCACCAGCACCAGGTGTGTAGGATGGGCTCCTAGGGTAGGCTTATGTCTGAAGTTATTGATGCACCCGTGAGCGGTTTGGAGTGGAAACCCAGGGATGGGATTTGTCTCGTAATTTGAAATACATGTAAACAAGTGGCCTCGCTTTTATTGAGAATATTAAGAAAAACTCCTATGCAACTCAAATCCAAACGCTTCAGTCATTCAGTAAAGAAAAACAGACTTAGGCGCCGTTTACACGAGGAGAAAACTGCTTGTATCTGCATAGTTTCGCGTGCGTATAGCCCTATTATTTACACGAGGCCGATAGAAACTGACCCCACAAACAATAACGGGTCCCAAGGTGGATAGATTTGCAAACGAAACGCTCTGGGGGGTCAACCGAGTCCGTGTAATCACCTCTATACGAATATTTCCTGAATATGCATTTATTTCAAAATGCTTGGGTGTAAAGTAAAAGCAAAACAGAAGAGTTTATAGATTGCGACGGAAGATATGGAGACTTTCTGCTGTCCTGATATCAATCTTGAACCAAATATGATATGGTATGAAATGAAGTGTATTGTGTATTTGAATAGTTTAAAATAGTTGTTTTTATAGAACAGAATAGGAAAAGGGTAGTCCTCAAACCGAATTTTCAAGACTTGCGCAGTTCACTCACTTTCAGCTATGCATGTTAACTCCTCGGCTTAATGACCTCTAGCTTATCTCTACATGTGATTCATAACCATACATAAACACGCTAAATGTAATACATATGTGTAAATGTTTTTTTCCTTCTGAAATTGACCAATGATATCTTTCCACAACAGAAGGCTCTTCCTATCAAACTATGTCTGCATCTTTATCCCCCGTTAGCACTTCTCAGCCCCTGTCCCTCTGATCTTACTCTCACTCTCTCTGCCCCCCCCCTCCCCCTGCAGGGTATTCATTCCACAACGCGAGCGAGTGTCTGAGCCTGAATGAGATGGAGATGGTGGAGGATTACTGATGTGACGCAGCGCAGCAGCAATAGCTACCTGAGGCCTTCTGTCTTTTAATCAGACAAACCTGATGACGAATGTGCACTGCTGGGGGAACTGGGAGGGGGTAGGGGGGGGGATGGGAAGGGAGCAAGCGTAAGGGGGCAAGCGTAAGGGGAGGTGCAGGGTGGAGGCGCCTTGATCTGTGCCTCCCACTCTCTCCTTCCCTGTGGCTAGAACAAAAAGGGCTCCCTGCTGCACCAGTTGATCACTTGAGCAGGGGAGAGGGGGGTGATGTATAAAGGAAGATGGGTATCCTCTGGCACTCAAAAGATTAAGCACCTTATACTGAACTAATGCACTTTATTGAGATGGGATTTGAATATTTTTTTTCATGTGTGTGAATGTGTGCGTGCGTGTTGGGAATTGGTGCACATACGGTGTGTGAACATACACATATTCTGCGTGCATGTGCATCAGAACTGGAAGGGTGTGGTGAAACAGTCGGTGGGTGAATGGTCGGGCTGTTAGGTTTTCAAAGTCAGGGGGACCTTTAGTTGAAACCTTTATCAGAGAGCAAATCCTTTCTCAAAAGACAAACACTGTTGATATTTCTCTTGTTTAGCATTTTTTTACGTTTATATAAAAAGTAAAGCTATTGAAAAATGGATTATAAAAAAACTTGAAGATTTGCACTTGCCTAAAAAAGAAATAACAAAAACAACAAAAAAAATCAAACAAATGGGGTTAGTTATAGAAGTGAATATTTTTGTGAATGTGTCTGAATGACTGAGTGTGTGATGCTTGGTTTGTGTCAGTAATATACCAGTCTGCACAATGTTTGTTTTTTTCATTCTTTTGTTGCTTACCAAGATGTATGAAACATAAGAGGCCATTTTTGTCTTTTTTGTTCAAATGGTAATTTTGTATTCTCATGTTTAGAGAGTGTGTGTGTGTGTCCCTCCTCCAAACAGGGACGTGATGAATGTTGTGAGAGTTGAATGAGTGAGTGAGACAGAGAGAGAGGGCAATTGCACAACACATCCTTTCTCTCACCAGCTCTTCATCCCCATGATAGACGAAATAGAAATGCATACATTTGTAAATGTTAGCTTTGCGCTCATCACACGATGGCACCACTTGTTTATTTCCCTTAAGCCCCTCCCCATGGGGAGCCGTCTGTAGACCTGTGAGGACTAGCAGACAGGGCGAATCATGAGGGACATTACTGTGCGTGCATCAGAGTGAGACTTTGTATGTGTGAGTTTTCATGTTCATTTACTGTTCATAGAAATGAGTTAAGACTACAGGTACTCATTTTGAATACATGTGCTTTTTGTATGTGTATGAATGCACATTTGTGCCTAAGAACTTGGATAGGGTGCGTGGCCATTGAGACATTAACTCTTTTTTGAGAGCGAGTGTGGTGTGTGTCAGTGCTCAGCACAGTGTATGTAAAGTATGTAAGTTTATATCGTAAATGTTTCTAGTTCAGTCTAGGGGTGATCCATCGGAAGGTTAGTCCAGTCTGTTTTCCTGGGGTGTGATCACGTTGCCTTTTGTCAGCTCTCGAACTTGTGAATGAAAGGTGTCGAGATTCTGACTCTGAAAAAAAAAACAGCATCTTAATGTGCAAGTGCACAGAAGGGTGCATGAAATGTTAGCATATTGTGTTACTTATTCGTTGTTGCAATTTGATAATGACGAGTTTCTTTTTTTAATGAAAAATATATATGAATATATACATTATATACAAAGTTTAAAAAGTATTTGGACTAAGATAATGAGCACTTGGGGCTGCTATTTTTGTTGTGTGTTCTAATTTTTTTCCTTAATTTGTTTTTCATTTTTGTTTCATTATCGCCATGTGAAGTGTGTATTATTTCTTAAGAAAATATTGAATGTATTCCAAAAAAATGACAAGAAACCCGTGCTGATACCAGATTTTATTTTTTTTTCCTCAGAAGATTTCAAAAATGGAAACAAAATACAAAAAAGCTTCAAAGAGTTTAGCGGGAACTTTTTTTTATTTACAGTGGAAAAGAAGAAAAAAAAACTGGGGCTGGAAACAGTTGAACACACTGCCTCTACAATCCTGGTCGTACAAATAGTGACTAAGAATGAAAAGACTCTTTCTATTCCATACTGGAGCTTTGGTTGTTTACAAACCACATGGATATCTGTGGGTGCAGTTTTTAGTTATTTGTTTTATTTTTTTATTTTTGTTCCCACATGAGACGGGTGGGGTTTGCAAGTGCGCTTCTGCCATATGGACATTGAGTTGTGTTGGGTTTTTTTTTTTAGGAAGAGTGGCAGGTATCACAAGAACATGGACACGATCCTCCGACTGGACCTCTGTGTGTGGTCATGGAGAATTGATGATCCACCATGGAGGAAAGGGAGGGAAATCAAGGATGGGCTTTGTTTGTGGAGTGCAGGGCTGCAAAACCCTGGAGGGAAGAGAAGGTGAAACGTGTACACCTGGTTAGTGTGCTTGTCTCCACCTCAACCCTCAGAAGCACTCACCTGCCCTCACCAACTCACCTATGCACTTTTGTTCATTCAAGCTGTGAGGTACAATGTTGGGGATGGGAGCACAATTACAACAGGAGGATTGCTACGACTTTGACAAAGTCACTGAAAAACAATATATTCCCAAACTGAAATAAGAGACTCGAGAAGAACGTCTTCTCCCACCTCCTGTATATAACCATATTTTTGTATTATCTTTCGGAGAAGAAAGAAACTTTGCAAATGGATGAAGGAAAATTCATGCGACGTTGACTATATGGAGTGAATGTTCTTCAAGAAAACCAATCTTTTTGAGTATAGTTTGAGATGGACTCGCTGTGAGTTTCCCTTAGTTTGCCAGTAACCCTGAAATAATCGGGGATGGGAGGGAAATTAAAAAAACAAGGACTAAGTTTGTAGGACTTGCTAAAGTGGCTCCGAGACTGACTGAGAGTTACTTATCAAAACGGATGCTGCAGTCTCGACAAAAAAGTCCCACCAAGAGTGTTTGATCAACATACACGGTGAAGAGGCAGACGTGGGTTTGAAGGTCTTCTCCGAACCTGATGGCTGCCTCCAGAGCTGTGGAGTTAATGCAGGAGGAAAACTATTTGGCAATGGTAAGATATTCTTTAATTTGATCCATTTACTCCTGGTTAAAGTCACTTTTGAACAGTGTGGTGATGATGGGTTTTGTGCTCTTTCTTTCCATCTTCTCTCAGGAGTCTGGCTGTGCTTTATTTGCTGCCCTCTGCAAGGAGGATCTAATCTACAGCCAACCCATGAACCAGTTTACCCTAAACCTTTGAACTTAAACCATAAGAAACTTTTCTGTCTTGACCTCAGACTTGGCAGGCCGCTGGCATTATCAGTTGGACAGTTGCAAGATGAACAGGTTTATAGGCCGTGGATCCCATCTGTGTTGGAAGTGTGAGGATCGGGACTTGATCTCCCATGGAGGAAAAGGATAAAGAGGCACGTATTGCCCAGATGTCATCACCCCACCTCGGCCTGAAGCTCTCAGGCAGTCGCGTGGAGGTCTTCTAAGCGGCGGGACAGAAGACTCCGAGCTGGATTGGGTTTAGACGGACGTGGCTGGAATACATCAAAGTCACCAGGAATCCCTGCAGCTGTGGAACTGGATGAACTGAAATAATTGTACAAAAAAAACTTTGAAACATGACAAAACACAATCGAGTAGCTACATGTCACATAGATTCTAGTTGCGGACACACTACATGCATATGCTACAGCAAAAGCAACACACAGTGGCTCTCCCCATGAGCCACAAACACACAACAGGGCTACACCAACATTAGATGACACACACAAATCATTGCTCAATATAATCGCTGAGCTTTGTAAATAATGTAAAGGTTTGTGTTTTTGATTTTTCTCTCATAGTGGTTTTGCTTTATGTCTCTGTTCAACATGCCTTAAATTGTATAGTTCAGCTCTGAACGGCTAACTGAAAATGTTCTCTAAAAGGTGAATTTAAGTTGGAAACCGCCTCCTTTAACTGTCCTCTAAAGTCGAAAGAGAGAAAGGAGCTTTCTAAAAGTTTTTGTTTGTTAACAGGACAGTGTTCTGTATTAATTTGATACATCTGATCACCATGAAAGACACTGTTTTGCTACAGAAAGAGCAAGCACTCTTTGATTAATCTGATTTTGCTGGTGGTTAGCTTGTGTTGCCCTTTTGGTTTCCTTAAAGTTTAGAATTGATTTGTTCACATTTCCTGTTGGATAATTGCAAAAAGTGCAGGCTTAATAAAGGGCTGAAGTCTGTACTGTATGGAGCTGAGCTGACTGGGGGGATACACAGAATTGGCTTAAAACAGACTTATTATTGTGTGACATATTGTTGGATATACTGCTCTAGGCAAAACTGAACCAGAGTGACAGGTCTTCCAAGTAGGGGCTTTTTGGTTATTATTTTTCTACACTCCGGGTAACTTTAACATTTTGGAAGCAACTAGATACTTTTTACAGTTATGGGATGTCAAATCAGTCTTGTGAGAAGCATGATTGCATGATGTGTAGTATTTGTGGGTTTTGACGCTGAACCTTGACGTGCGTAACGATTTGTCCCAGATTGCAGCAGTTTTGTTTGTGCACCGGGGAGGGAGTGCTGCTGACTATCTGAATGCACTGAATAGATAAGAAATCGACCAGTCACTTGTGTGTTATCCAAAAGGAAATTCTTGTCCTGAAAATGTGGAAAGCGTCTTGTTCCATTTGTGTATATCTAATTGGATTTGAGAGATTAATGCTTTTAGACGACTAGTTGCTTTTTGTATCATTGACAACTAAACACTATGCCGTTTTTATTCCAATTGGCAACTGAGGTTAAATATTTAATAAACTTGTACATCTGTTTAGCTGAGATGTTGATGGATAGCTAACTACTAAGTTTAATGTTGTCTTTATCAGTTGCCAAAACAAAAAATTGACTTTATACTATCACGTCTGTTGTTTGAGAGTGACTTTAAAAAATGTCTTTGATATTTTTAAATGCTGATATTGTCTTAATAGAGTAAACAAAGTTATTTTACTGCACCACAGGTGCTTTTATGATTAGATAAACTGCAATAGTGTTTCTTCCAAAA